GATCAGGGAGGCCTCAGCTTCCCCAGTAGCACAGGCTGGTTATGAGCCATGATGACTACCCAGACATTTTGCTTTGCTGGCTGCGCCGCCAGCACAGCTAATCACCACTGCCTTCCCCGTCAGGCTTTACCCTGGCTTAAGGCTGGAGCAGCTGTTTTGGTTACTAATGGGGCGAAACGAATGGAGAAAGTCCAGCGGCATCTGCAACACCACCTCCCTGCCAAAAAGCCGTGCTGGAAAACCTCAGCCAGCCTCGCCTGGGCAGGAGCCTCCCTCGATGGGAAGGCAGGCGGCGGTGAGCCCCAGCCACCTGTAGCGCGGTGCGTGCCGGCACACGCTGCACGAGCTGCTGGGTTGGCTCAACACCCAGGGCAAAGGGCTGCTGCAGAGCGGCCGAGTCCTGCGAGGAGAAAGGGTGCTCTGCTGAAAGCGTGTCGGGGGCTGTGCCCTTGGCGCTGCCACGGCCCCCGGGAGGGGAATGCTGGCAGCAGTTCTGTGCATTCCCTTTCCCCGAAGCCAGCAGAGCCAAGGATAGGAAGTGAGCCCCCCTCAGTTTCCAAGCAAAGCTTTTTGCTTCGGAAATGCCCCAGAGCTGGGGCTTTTTCAGCAGAGAAAACACTGCCCCAGTGCAAGGGAGGGCAACACACACTGCGGGTTGCAGCTGTGTTGAGGGAGCTCGACTGCATCCGCGCTGGTTGGCCTGGTTTGCTGCACTAAAGCAGACTTCTGCCCTGGGAATCGGTGCACCAAGAGATGTGGGGGGCCCAACAGGAGTGGTCCTGAGAGTGGTTTGACAGGGCGAGCAATGGAGCAGTACCACCTTTCCTTAATAAACCACCGGCCAAATCTGTATTTGGGTCAAATGGAACCAAAAAGCCCTGCCTGCTCATCAGTGGTCAGTGGCTGCTCTGCTCCCCCAGGCCAGGGTTACCACTACAGCAGCAGCCATGCAGTACAGCTTCCTCCTCCTCTTCTTCCCTACTGCTCCCTGTGGGGGAGATCAGTTGGTGTGTAGGCTCGCCTTGCGTGGAATGACAAGGAGCTTCAACGTGGGGAGAAAGCCTGGTGCCTCCCACCCGTCCTGAAGGTACTCCGCAAGTTGTCCCCTGGCTGCACTGGGCAGAGGGGGTGCTGCTGTGCTCAGGAATTGGGATCAAGTGGGAAGATGCTGGGGAATAAAGGCTTTTCTGCTTTGGGAAGCTGGTGGTCAGGCTAAGTTAATTTCAAGGCATCTAGCATCATCTTCAAGATGGGATGGACTAGTCTGCTGATTGGATTTACATTTTTTTTTTTTTTTCTTTTAAAGGAAGATGTTGGAGACTTTTGTGAGCCCCCAAGACTGGCAGAGGGACTGCAGGTTAGGCTGAAGTCAGCCTTCATATTCACTGCATACAAACTTTTAGACTTTGATTTTGCAAATGTCTAAGCCCCATTGCACATATGCTTTTGGATATAGCTACTGTGATAAATGTTGCAAATGTCAGTTATAATTGTGGCCTGCTTAACTTCCTACAATGCCCCTAGCTAAGCATCTTTGCAAAGAGTGAGACAATGCTGGGACAAAGCCAGCCTTGCTGGGGGTTTTAAAACACTTGGCAGCACAGGATCTGGAATGTTTTGCCTGTTAGTGGACTAAGACAAGCAATCCTATTTAAATAGATAAAAAGGAGATGTATTTGACCCAGTCCCTGTTCAGACAGGGTCAGGACATGAACTCACGTGAAAACTGGCTCTGCCAGGATTTATTTCCTCTGATCTGATCAGGTAATGGAAACTGGGGGGGGTGGTGATGAGGGGGACTTGTCAGGGAAATTTGTCGCTCCTGCATGTTGTGAGTCTGCAGCCTGTGGGCCCTTATTGCTGCCGCGGTCAAGGGTTACTCTCTGCCTGTGGGGCAGAGCCTGCCCCAGGGAGCAGTGCCTGCAAATGGGATCTTGCCTGCTCTTCCAGGAAAGAGTGCTAGAGCGTATTTCCCCTTGTCATTGCCACAGCTGTAGTAGCTATCTTGTGCTTCTGCATGCTTTTACTAGAGCCTGTCAGAGCCAGGTATTTCCGTGCAGATCACAAGTTGCTCTTCATTAGCTCTTAAATGGCCTTCGCTCTACCTAACTGCAGAGAAAAGCCTGAAAGCCTCTCCCACAACAATTCAAAAACACAAGATAAATAAGGTGGTGGTGGCAGCAGTGATTTTTAAACCCTGTTTTTTTTTTTTTTTTTTCTCAAGTGCCTGCCTGCCTGCCGTGTGGTTCCCTACGAGCCCAGGACTTCCCCGGTGCAGCAGCGAGGTCTCCCCGGCCCAGCCTCCCCACGCTGCCCCCCGGCCCCGCGTCTCGCTGCCGGCAGCCCGTGACGCCCAGCCGCAGCCTGGCGTGTTGGGATCTGCCTTCTGCCACCTCCCCTCTTGAAAGGGCTTCCTGTGCTGTTACGCTGGGCCGGTTAATCAGCACTCCCTTTGGGTTGTGGATCTCTCCCTGGCTTGGGCCGGCGATAGGAGTGGCGGCGTTCAGGCGTTTTGCTCCAGCACCCAGGTTAAAGCGCGTCCCAAAAGCGGGGCAGGGGGAGGGATCACAGCGATGCCGTGCAGGATCCATCCCTCTGCGATACCAAACCGGTGTTGCAAGAGCAGTCGAAGGCTTCATGCAGAGACCTGGGCGCATGTGTGGGCAGTTTTGGCCAAAGAACAGGACAGGTTAAGTGTGGTTAATATCTCAAACCTCTGGCCCCATGTGTAAAGAAGCCCAATTCCTCTTTCTTCTTTGCTTGTGTGGGTCTTCTTCAAAGAAACAGATCAAAATCAGTGCTGCTTCAAGAAGGTTCTCCCTGTCTGAGATAGGGAGGGAAGGGGAAAGGCTAGATGGACCCCTTCCCCAAGGTGCAGGGACAATGGGATCTGACCGGCAGCTGTGGAGGTAATGCAGGTTTGCACAGCAGCAGCAGAGCACTGTGGCACAGGAAGGCTTTGCCTGAGTTTTCTGGGGACACCTGTCAGTTGGTCTGCACCTTTATGTGACCCAGCTGGGGTTAAAAGTGTGGAGGAGAGTGGATATTCCCCCCCCACAGACCTCTCCGCTAAAGGACACCTTGCAGAACAGCCTTCGCATGCCTTGTTTTTCTTGCAACCCTGTTGTGCAGAGCCAAGGTGGTGCAAGAGAGGAGGCAGGAATGAAAGGGCTGAGGTTTGCCTCCAGGCCTCTTTGCAATCACCCAGCAATTCTCTCCCCTTGCCGCCCCGACACCACCAAGCGTGTTGGAACCGCAGGCTTGTCAAGTCCTCTCGAGGCCTGTAGAAACACGGCACTGCAGCGCCTCGTGCTAAGCAGCAGGTAAATAAAGCTACCGGGCTCTGGGAACAAACTGTTGCAAAGACAGGTAATGCATCAGGGGCTGCGCTATCCCCCGCAGGCGGGGGCTGGGATGGAGCAGTGAGGAATGGGGATGGTGTGAGGCATCTTCCCTGCTGCTGGGGCTCCTGCACGGGGAGCTGGCACCAGCGGGTGCTGGCAGAAACCCAGACTACGCTACCACAGGCATGCAGGCAGAGGCTGGGTTGAAAAATCACGTCTAGAGATGAAAAGGTGAAGCTTATGGTTGCTAACACCATTTCACTGTATCTTTTTTTCCTCCATTCCTTGCCCCTGGGGCTGAAATAGCCACCTGGGGCCATGGTCAGAAGCCCTAAGGAGGCAGGCGAGCACGGTGCGTGCAGAAACCCTGCAAGCAACCTCTCCCTGACTTTGGAGGTGAGCAAGAGGAACTTCTGTTCATCGTGCAGCCCTTTCCGCTGTCAGGGAGAGGTTAGGCAGCGTGGGGGGCCTGGAGTAAGGCTCAGCTCCGTGGAGTCCTCTGTCCCTTCACGCATCTCAAACCCGCTTCCTGAGCGCGAGGGGATTTGTGCACATTGTAAGGGTTTGCGTGGTGGGTGAGTGGGCAGAGCCCACGGCCTAGGTGCTGGTTCACACCGTTGCCTTGGCGTGCTTCAGGGCATGAGATGAAGTCGAGGGAGGGAAGGTGGCAGAAAGTGGTGTGGGGAACAGGTTTTCTTTCAGACTTGGGGCAGCCAAGTTCAACCTGCCAACTCAACTAGGGAAAAACAGTCAAATGATACTGAGCGTGCATTTATGGTAGGGTCTGGGGATTTATTTTTCCTTTTGGTAGAGAGTTTGGTGGTTTTTTTGTATGTAAGTAGCAATATCGCTGTTAGATAGTTCTGTGTATTTTTCAGGTATTTTTTTTAAATAATATGGCTAAGACCGGAAAGAGGCAAAGAAATGCCTGTAAGCTTTAGGTCAGCAGCTCAGTAGGGACTTCAGCTAAGTCAGAAGTGTGCATATAGGACCAGAAAGTCACCCGCCAGAGATCTTTATAAAACAGTAATTTGTAATTGCTGCATGAGTGCTAATTTAGTACCCCTGTTCACCCTTCCTGCCCCCAAGGAAGGCTGGTTCACAGGGACAAATACCTACTCAAATACTGGTAGCATGTCATTGCAATCCCTTTGGTTTTTTCTTTTTTTTTTTTTTTTTTCTCCCAGTGCCAGCTGTGTTGCATTTTATGTAATGCATAGCTGTGCCTGTTATTGTGAGAGGTGGCATGGATAAAAAAGACTCATGAGTGTGGCCTCATGTTTAATTAGAAGCTAATGTGCTATTATTATTAGGCACTGAAAGAATGTACTGGCGAAGCAGTGCTTGAGCTGTTTTAAAAGCATTTTATAAGTGTGTACTTTCCCCTTGCCTAGCTGGCATGCACCACCTTTATTAGGTGGCACAAGACTGCTGTTACCTGGTCTTCCAGCTCTTTTGCAGTTCAGGCAAATACCGCTGGAATTAAAGTATCTCAAATCTCGCTGTTCTTCTCACTGTTCAGAGGACTTTGAAAGAGAAGGGTACGGTGTGTGCCAGGCTAGGCCAAGTGTTTATTCACAGTAGCCCAGTTCTTGAGAGACTAAGTGGTCTGTGGTTGAACTTGCTATAAAGAGAGGCTGCTTAAGTACACCTTAATGAAATATGACAACTTTATTGGTCTCAAAAGAAGTAGTAAGAAAATGACTTTTGTTTAATGACAAGTTTCACTGTCAGCACCTTTAGGAAGCTTGCTGTGACAGCTGTGCTTCACTAAGAGGTACATTGCTTTGTAACCTCCATATACCGGCATGAGGGTGGCTTTACCATCTCTTCTTTTAATATAGTTTCATTAGGCAGTCAGTGAACCATCTTGAAATTCAAAAGGCTGAATTAGGAGAGTTGCACACAGAGGTACCTGCTTGGAGTCAGGACCAGTATCAAACAGCAGCAGGTTCCCTGCCCCCTCTGCAAGCACCTATCCTCCTTTGGTTATCACCCTCAGCCACTACCCTTTCCAATGCCAGAAGGCTGGGTTTTGTTTTTTAAGCAAGCATTGACTTTCATGGGGCTGGAGTCCCATAGGAGCACTTTGACTCATAAAATCAGATACTCAGGTAGCACTGGCATTTGTACCACTGCCATGAGGTACATGCAAAAAAAAGGCTTGAGCAGGAGCAGCTTTTCTGTCAAGGGAGAGGGGAGCAAAGCACAACACTGCTGCTTGCTGTGGCACACATGGTGGGAACTCACCAGCAAGGAGAGGCGAGGTACCCGTCTGGGCAGCAGCCCACCAGGGAAGATGCAAAAGCATTTGACATGGCTTCAAGGTGGGGAAGAAAACTAAACTCCCTGAACAGCTATAGTGTAAAGAGGAAAGCATTGCAGTTGTTCATCACCATGTTATACAAATAAAGGCAGGGTTATATGGGGTTTTGTTCTATAAATTCATTCTGTAAATAACACCTCCAGTTCATTCAAGCTCCTTAGCTTTTGTATGGAAGGTAAGGGGAATATAAAACAGGACAGTCTTACACAGCAACAGTTTGAGCTTCAACATCATTAAACACGTTACAGTTGTGTGCTGCTGCTGGCCAATCGGCTTTTCAGTTGTTTGAGCAACTAAAATAATGAACAGATATGGAACACAATCTTTTATTAATAACAGATCACATTTGAACTTTGAAAAGAGTAAAATTAAAAGGTGTATTAAAACATACCCACTCTAAGCAATCTATTTTCTTTAGTAGAAAAAAGCATACAACAGGTAGAAATACTATATACACAGTATATCAGTCTAGTCATCAGCCCCTCCAAACATTGTTTCACAAACTGGTATAATGGTGTCAGAATATACCATCCAGTTACAGTATGAATTTTAGCTTTTGACTTTTTTGTTTAAGACAAACCACTAAGCACCTAGTTCAGCTTACTGATCTTAGAACACATACAAGGTGGTACTGTATATGAAGATACCAGTGTTAAGCTTTTACATCTGCTTATGTATTGTTGGGATCCTGCCTTGTTCATATGTCTGCCTCATCAATTTTAAGTACATGGAAATGCATAAATCAAGGTCTCCATTAAAAAGAGTACCTTCTGATACTGAAACATGATTAATTATATCTTAAATAGCCCTTTCCTCATCTCTTGCCTTAATGTCAAGAAGATTTGTGTTGTGCGTATTTTAAGCTGGAGGCTTTCAGCCCAAAACACACATCACTGCAATAAAAAATAAAAAAGTCTGTGCCATCCTTTTTTTTTTTTTTTTTGAGGAAGATAGAAAAGCTTAGTTCTTAAGTTAGAAGTTGCATCCTTCTCTCACAACATCCTTGGGAGGGGAATGTCACTATACAGACAGGGCAGGCACAGGCAGAATGACTGATGCAGACCATGGCATGGCAGACTCCAGCTCTTCACCTTGCAGCTGGCCTTAGTCCATGTGCGCTCTCAGTTGCACACGCCAACACAAGTAGCTTCTGCTGGTTGCACCTCAGTCCATCAGCTGACGCTGCTGATGAGCAGGTCACTGCACAAGTGGAGAGGGCCCCTGTGAGTCAAGCTCCAACAGCCTTCTCCCACCAGGAAGAAAGGTAGCAAGTTCTGTACCTTTTGCTTAAGTGTCACTTAGTAACACCGTAACCGAGCTATTACTGCTGTGCTGAGCAAGCTGTAGCAGGGTCTGACGCGTGGGTCTTTGCATGTCAGTATGTGCCCCGTGCTTCAGAAGAACCTCAACTGTTTTTGCGTGCCCTCCTCGTGCAGCCAGATGAAGAGCTGTCAACCCTTCACTGTCAGAAACATTGATATTTTCTGAACTGACAAGTTCTTCTACTACTTCGGAGTGCCCGTTTTCTGCAGCAAGATGTAACGCTGTCCTGTTTAAAGGGCCTCTGGCCAGAACACTGGCCCTTTCATCTATCAGCAATTTTGTTGTTGCTAAGTGGCCGCTGCGAGATGCCAAGTGCAGAGCCGTATATCCTTCTGCTGTTGCTGCCTCAATGTCTACACCATGTTTAAGGAGCAGCCTCGATGTGCTCGTGTGGCCAGTTTCAGCAGCTATGTGGAGAGCAGTCTGCAAGAGCGCGTTCTGTATGTTGACATCCGACTCCAGGTCTATGAGGAGGCGAGCGACACGGTAGTGTCCTCGCTGAGCAGCCAAGTGTAGTGAGGTCCTTCCATCCATGGTCTGCACGTTCACGTTTGCGCCCCGCTGCTTGGCCAGAAGCTTTACGATGGGGAGATGACCTTGCCAGGCAGCATAGTGCAGCGGCACCCAGTCATCCTTTCCTCTGATGTTCACGTTAACGCCTCTTCTCAGCAGGATCCGCACAATATTCTCCTGGCCGTACTGACAGGCTATGTGGATGGGGGCTCTGCCTTCAAAATCTACCTCATTTAAGGATGCGTTCTTATCAAGCAGCATTTTGGTGCTGAAATCATCCCCGTTTTGGGCAGCAAAGTGAAGAGCAGTCCACTGATCCTCATCTTTGGCATTAACATTGATTTTCCTAGCCATAATCAGCTCCACAATACTTTTAACTTTCTTCTCAATGGCTATGTGAAGAGGAGTGGATCCTTTCTTGTTGGTGAGGTTAGGGTTAGCATTGTACAGGAGGAGCCATTTGACACATTCTTCCTGACCAGCTTCAACAGCCAAGTGCAAGAGACTGGAGTTCCCATCTAAAACAATATCAACATCTTGAGGCTGGAGGATCTTCATCAGCTTGCTGGTATCTCCAGATAAAATGGCCTCTGTTAGCTTCCTCTTCTGTATGTCTGTAGTACCAATATCTAGATGGATATATGGAAGAAATTTTTTACAGTGAGGGTGGTGAAGCACTGGTACAGGTTGCCCAGAGAGGTGGGAGGTGCCCCATCCCTGGAAATATTCAAGGCCAGGTTGGATAGGGCTCTGAGCAGCCTGATTTAGTTGAAGATGTCCCTGCTTATTGTGGGGGGGTTGGACAAGATGACCTTTAAAGTTCCCTTCCAACCCAAACTATTCTATGATTCCATGAAAAAGGCACCATCACAATTCTGACACCTATCAAACCTTACTTGCCCAGGGCTAACGTATCTGGTGGCTTCAGCAATGTCTTGACTGCAAACAAATCTGCTTCCTGCCCCCTGCAGTAGTTTCAGAACAACTTCAGGTCAGATTTGGAGCCCTACTTACTCTGTTTCTTGTGAAATGAAGAACAAAGGATGCTGTGATCGATCTCCCTGCACTGATCATTGCTTGCCTAACTGGAAAATAGATGCCTGTTTTTTGCAGCACTGGACTGAAAAGGGAGGTGTGTGTGCGCAACAGTGGGGGTCATTACTGCAATGTTCAGGAAGGCTACTAAGGTGGCTTGAGTCTTCTGTCAAAAAAAAAGGGTGCTCAGACTTGGAGTTAGTATAACTGAAAAAGCCACAAACTCTGCTGACCTGACCAGGCATTGGCTTTAGTCCCACTTTGAGCAAGACACTGGACTAGGTGACCTCCCTTCCAACCAACCTTGCCATGACTGATTCTGTAATTGCTTTGATGGGAATTCAGGTCACTTCTTTCCAAAAGAAAGTGAGATGTATTATTTCTCACTAGATCATGTTTGGGAACCACCTCTTTTTTTTTTTTTTTTTTATTTAAATAACTACCTCTAGTAAACAAATCTGTAGTGCTGACAGCAAGAGAAAGCAAGACTAACAGTGATTTCCAGAATCCTATTCTTTATATGACTACTCTCCAACCCATTTATTCCTATGCCCCAGTCCAAACAACTACAAAAAAAAACCAAAGAAAAACCTGACCATTACCTGAACTCTCCCTCTCAAAGGAAAGGGAAAGGGAGCCCCTGGATGAAAAAGCTGAATCTACAGATGAAACTCCTGAAAGTCGCTTGTCACTGGAGGCAAGTTTGGACTCGGAAGAGCTGCGGCTGAGATCCTCAGGGCCTTCCATAGTCTGTGAAATCCCCGAATCCAACTGGGACAACAACTCTGAGAGACTGTAATCCTTGACTGATGGTAGAGCAGGCTCCTGTTTCGGCTGGGATAATGCAGACATCCCCTTCAAGAGAAGCACACGAGCATTTTAGTAAAGGTCAGTAAAGAAAATCAAGCATGAGGCCCTATAGGAAGAAAGGTAAGCTTGTTAGTTTGCAGACAGTCTTTAAGCACTGTTCATATTAAACGCAAACCTACGAATAAGGTCACTGAAAATTTTCAGATGCAGGAGGGCAACTTTCATCAGTATTCACACAGCCACTAAAGCCACATGGCTCTTCTGCCTATTGCATTTTTTTTTTTAAGATTGGTCACACCCACATAGTCCCAGCCTTTATCTCCTAACTGTCCTGCTCTCCCTCAACAGCCTAAGATCCTCTTGCACTTAGTCCTGCGCTGACATTTTCCTGAGCAGGTCCATGCATCTATTGTCACTTTTGCATTCCAGTCCTTCACCAAGGCCCACTTCTATCAGGCAAGAAGGTGCTCAGAAGCAGCAAAGAGAAGGTTGCTTTGGAAGTTACAGGTTACGGAGGAACCTGTTGCTCATAAAACCTAGTGTGCTTGAACAAGAGGAGGGAAGAGAAAATACCTCAGGCTGATGCTCTGGGGAATTCTTGGTGTCCAGGTCCTGAGTTATCATCTCTCTTGTTTCATCTTCTGGTTTTTCACAAAGGGCTTCTGTTTCTGATGTGATTTCTTTGAAGAAAGCAAGAGAAGGTTTGGGGTTTTTTTCTCTTTCTTTTTTTTTTGTTGTTGTTGTTTTTTTAATAGGACACTTTTCTAAGATGCCCTGCTGCCTTTCTCTATCATTAGAGCTAAGCAGATTTGAGATACTGTAGGAGAAAGACTCCAATTTTGACTATTCCATCTAGCACCTCCTCAGTAGGTGCAAGTGTGTAGCTAGGCAAAGAGTGCACAGGGCTGAGTGAACAATTCATTTTCACATTCAGACCAGACTGACGTTTCACGGTGGCTACACCGCAGGAGTGTGAAATGGGAACCAGTCTACTGCTAACAGATTTAGATATATGTTTTTAAAAAGATGAGATCACTCTTCCCTTCAGTCCCCAGACCTTGTTTGGGCAGGAGGAGAGAGAAGAGGCAAATCTCTCCCATTAATGCTAAATGAAGCTACTTGGAGATAGTACTTGCTACATCCTTCCGTACATTGAACAGGGGATTGGGGCAAGTTCAAGCCTTTCACCAGAGTTGCCTTTTATGGGCAGAAAAAACATGGTATAAATTGTTCTGTTACAAGAAAACAATTCAAACAGTAAATTTCAAGAGCCGGAGCCTGCAACGCTTTGGTATGGTGAAAACCACAGCAACTCCAGCTTAGTATACGCTCCGATACACACAGTCTGAAATGAACATAATTTCTGGTTAAATGGATCAACTGGTTCAGTACAGGTCTTATTCCTGACGTGTATACATAACACTGTCATGGTCAGACTTGTCCCCAGATAATCCCTTCCTCCACAAATGAATAAGTGGCCTCTATCATTGTCTCTACCATACAATGTGCTCTATTTATTCCATCAGAGGTTCACAGCATTTACCCCAAGGATTAACAGAGTCTTGAGCAATAACGTGACTCACAGAAGAATAAATGGGCAGCCAAGTTACGAGGAAACCTTACCTTGAAATGTTGGCCGTTCACCAGGATCATCTTGCCAACATTTTTGCATCAGTTTGATCAAGTTATTACATGAATGAGGTCTGGATTTGGAAACAGCAGGTAGCTCTGGGCGGTGGCCTTTAACTACTTTTACCATAATATGTAAAATGTTGTTTTCCTCTGTAAAGCAAAGCACACAAATTAAGATCTCCCAGCAAAAGGAATGATTTCTCTTCTGTCTGAGAGCATTAACAGTGTATTAGGCTGAAACTTTGTTTTCATGCGTTTTTTCTAGCTTTAGAGTGCTTTCTTTTATTAACAGGGAAGAAGTTATTGGTCTTACTCTCCTACAATATATTCGTCAATGCAGTAACACCTACTTCTCATGTATCAGCTAACAATAATTGTCAGTAAGTCCCTGTGTTCTTTTTCAACCTATAAAAGATACAGAACCAAGGAAAAAAAATTCAAACCAGTTCTTTGCTACCACTCTTTGGATTTCCATATCTGCTGTAAGAAAACTGAACCACAGCTTTTATTTAGACCAAGTACCTGAGGTGACGGAAGGTAAGGGTAGAACACAAATCAAGCATTGCAGTAATGTGGCTCTTGACTCTGAAGTCAACCACTGAGCTAAATGGGATCTCTTACTTGGAGAAAAATTAATAGTAGCCTGGAACTTGTTCAAACATGTTTGCTATACATAGGCTAGTCATACAGGAAAAGTCATAAAGAATAAGTAGCTGCCTGTTGATCGGTACATTCACTGTGGGGTGGAACAAGGCTTATTCTTGCAGACAGTTGTTTGGGTTTTTTTAAAGAATAAATCTGTACTCACAATGTACAAATAAACTACAGAACCTCTCTACAGAGAAGCTGTTTCTGAAAATAGTGCAGTTGCCCGTCAGCTGGCTTTGCTCTGTGCTGTTCCTTCTTGGCCACAAACATGTCAGAAGTCTGCGCAGGCCACACACTGATCTGGATCTGTACAGCAAACTCCAGCAGAAGCAAAAAGGTGCAGACATTGACACAGGGGGCCCTAAAGGGTTCTACTTTCACGATGTAGGACAAAGGAGGACTTATGTTTGTGATGAGAATTTGAGAGCTTGAAAGTACCACACAAGACTGTAGGAATTGGGAGGACATCCATACAATCTGGGGCTGGTACAGCAGGAAGCATGCCTATCAACAGGAGGAAAAAAAAAAAAAAATTCCAGCACAAACCATAAAACATCAAACTTACCTGCAAAAGGCTTCTTCTGTGTAAGAACTCCCCAAACCACGATGGAAAAACTACAAATAAATGCAAAAAAAATTACCTTTTAGAAAAGCTTTAAAAACAAACAACAACTGTCAAAACCTCCCAAAAGCCAAACAACTCACAAAAGTATAATTTATTTCCATAAGTTCTCTCTCCTTGTCTTTCACTTCTGCATCTAATTCACTGATGAACACACACAGCAAGATGCAGCCAAGAACCATGATTTGAAAGTCTATTTTTTTCAGGGAGGAACCTGGGGCAGTGAACATAGGGACCTGCTGGAGGCTGCTGAGTTCTTGGTAACATTTACCAACTGCTCCACACCAAGACTGACAAAATCAGAGAGCAGCAAGCATTACTGTGGAATTTATTTAATACTTCTACCCTGCAAGATGGCTGTAAAGAAATACATTCCATTTAGACTATGACATATCATTTAATCTACAGCTATGATTCCCTTTTCCTAATAACCTTGCCATGAAAGAAGAACCAAAGGCCTAGTGATGAAATCCACTGAAGATAACTAAGAATTTTGTCACAGACTCGAAAAGTAGGTCAGGATGTACCTTTTGATGGGGAAATTAAAGGTGGGCAGAGTGCCTCCCATGCCACTTACTAATAAGTAAGTGTTATTTGGATAATGCTCAAGACCCAGGATCAGCTGCAGTTTTTTAAAAGGCCTCTACCCTATACTTTGCAAAAAGCAAAGCAAACATGACTCTTTGCAAGATGAGGCTCAAACTAGAGTTATGGGTTTCATGCTTAATAAGGTTTTATAATCAGAAAAAGAGGTCTCATTTTACAGCATTCCTTAAACTGCTTGTAAGTGTTTTCATAGTTAACTGACCTATACACATCATGTTTGGTGTCAAAACACCTGTTTTTCTCTTTGATGCGCTCTGGAGGAAGGTATGCAATTGTGCCACACAAGCCGTCCATGCTGATGTCATGGGAATGGGACAAGCCATTGCACTTTGCAAGTCCAAAGTCAGAAATCTGCAAAAAATAGAGGAGGAGGGGAAGAGAAGTGCATGCTACCATTAGACTTTGGAGGCGTTAACAAAAAATCTTCTGTAAAGAATGATAGATGTAACAGGATGACCCAACAAAATATAGTGAGCTGCCATTCAGAAATACTAAGCTAAGGAAACATCTCTGGAAGCATTACAGTATGGTAGGCTTTTGGGGTTTTTTTATGGTTAAACTAAAAAAGAAAAAGCAAGCTGTTTTTTGCAAGCAACAGCATGTTAGCCCATTACATAGCAAACACAACAAACAGTCAAGACAATTTACTGTAATTTAAAACTAGCCAAATTTAGCTAGTGCAAACTACTTTAATGTAATTATTGGTCCTGCCACCCCCTTTCCCTACATAACCTCATGTTACATTTATGCTATGTTTAAGTGTTCTGAGCACCTGTTTTCAGTCCATGAGCTCTCCAGTGAGCCCATGAGAACTGCTCTTTCAGATATTGCTGTTACGCTGACCATGCCAACAAGGTCTAAGCCCAACACCAGAGGCACCAAGAGTTAAGAAAACCCAAACCAAAGCACACACACACACATCAAAAACCCACACGGGGAATTCTTTTTGGCAACTAGGAGATACGGCAAGTCGGTGCAGTGACGCAGTGAACACAGCTGAAATGAACAAAACAAGTGACAACAAGTTTATAAAAAGGAAAACACACCTCCACTTTAATTTGAAGTGTCAAGCAAATATGCATTCATTTGTTCTCAAAGGCATACCAATCATCAAGCAAACAGATAGGCAAGGAATTTCCTTTGTCTTACTTATTTCCCACTGGTCAAAAATGCCTATTACGCTAAGTGGAAATTTCAAGAAAAGTCAAGTCTTTTTGGACCACTCAGCCCACTGATTTTTGTCTACACGTTAGACAAGATTTCCTTCCCCCTGCCCCCCTGACTTATACATTCTTTTTTATCTAATTAATACTAAATTGAAAAATAGGTTTTCCAATGACTCATTCCCCTTTTGATCTTCACGGCTTCTCCTTTGAGAAAGTTCTCCCCAAAACAACAAGCATAATTAAAAAAGCTTTTTTTTTTTTTTAAATAGACTCCAACTTTACGCTTTCAGAAGTTTCTGTCTGAAGATACCACAAAGCTAGTCGTAACATGCATCCATTACTGGAAAGGGAGAAAACGACTGCCAGCTTCAGCCTCCTGGAGAACAGGCAGGCTACACAGCCATTGGTCTTCAAATGCTAGGAATCTCCCTTTGCCATAAAACAAACAAAGCAACCCACGCAGCTTCAGGAGGAACTTCTCCCAGGGACAAAGAGCTCAACAGGCATTCTCAGGAGCTGCCAAAGTCCTGTACCCTAGCACGCAGGTACATCCCACCTGTTGTCCATCTGTATCTTAAATCTGTAGGATAATGTGGGAATGGCTTGCGAAGGAAAAAAAAAGGGGGGGAAAGAAAGCAAAGTCACCTGGAGGAATAGTTTCTCATGCTTGTAGGGCTACATTCTTAGAGGGGGATTGCTGGCCTCCTCAGCAAGCCAAGCACTGGTGTCCAGGAAAGCAGTAAGTAGTCAAGAAACCCAGGTTTGCAAGCCAGCTTACCCTGGAAAGAGCTGAATCGACCGCCCCAGGAAGTGCTGCATGAGTTTGGGGCACTTAGTGCTCCACAGGAGAACAAAAGCTCAACCCCAATATCACGCAAGCCCGTGGTGTCAGGTTAATAAATGAACAGACTGCTGCAAGTCTGAACAGATCTGACTTGGTGAAGCGCTGCTATTCTTTGATTAACGTGAAGCAGAGGCTTGTATACACCTCAAGAAACCCATATGGCATGCAGGCATAATTAAAGTAATACACCTTCCTCTTTGTCTAAACAATAGTGGGTTTCCTACTGTGTAAATTAAGAAATAAAGATGAAATACAGACAGCACAGCGACACTCCTGCGTTAAGAGCCACCAGCTAGGTCACGTGAACCTCAGGCTAGGAGCTAAGACAGGAGGCCAAGCACATTATATAGGAAAGGTCTCAGTCTCAGCCTACAAACCAGGAAACAGCTAAGGTACATAGTATACCCACCCCAGGCTAGCAAGAACTTTACCTTGTGAACCTGCCCCTACCTACTGCTGAAGGACTAGGTTTTATACCAATTAACAGGAAATTCACCTGTAGAGGAGAGCTTCCATCATATAAAATTCTGCAGACAGCACTGGAAATTGAATTGTTATCTTTCAGGCTGCAACAAAATAGTAAGATTCTGCAGACAGCTTTTCTGGCTTTTATTAGTTCCTTTAAGGTAAATTTTCCACACTGCATGGTGTATTTAGTCATGCAGTTTCTTTAAACATCAGTGGGAACTGTGCAGTGGGTGGAAGACACAGCCGTTTAACTTACCTATTTTGCCTTTAAATTGCTTGCCAGGTACCCAGTTCTGCAACAGAAGGCACCCATGCTGGTGAAGGTAGTGAAAGTGGAGCACTCCTCCCCACTTCTTCCACATCCCCGCTAGCCCTTGCAGCCCACCCCATGATCCGACAGAACCCGTCATCTCACTCTTCACATCAGTTAGTTCAGGTGGATCCCATCCTGCTTCAAAAGCATACCTAATATCAGCAGAGTTAAGAGGAGACATGGAGGCGACAGACTGTTTTATGCAAAACACGCGGTGAAGAGGTAGGAAGAAGAGAAAAAACATTGGCCAAAGCCCACGCAGACAGTGGGATTGTTCATGTTCAGACAGCTCGCTCTGTCTCTGCTCTTTAAAGGTCTGCATGAGAACAAACACGTGAGTAGTGACTGGGGAGGGGAGCTGAACATGTTCTCCTGCCCACTTCCCAGTAACACTTACTTTACTGAGAGATTCCAAGATATGAAGATCTATTTTTCCCCTATTTCCAGTGCCCCTCCCCCCCCCCCTTTTTTTTTTTTCAGTTTTGTTTGGTTTAAATCAAGCATACTGTGCACACAGGCCTTTCTTGTGGATATTTCCAATCTAGTTTGTAAAAAACAATCACAAAGTTTTAGATGCTTTGAGTTTGTCAAGTTATTTTTTGGAACTTCTGGGGTTTTTTTGAAAACTAGCAGATATGCTCACGTAACTACAATGGTTCCTAAAGTCAGCTATTCCCAAACACTGCAGGGATCTAGGTCCCAGGAACAAAATTAGTGCTCGGAAAGTGCTTTCACAGATGACTCCTGACAGACCATCCTGAAGTGTGCACTTAGCTTCTGATGCTGCATGTCATTTTTCATTTTTCTGCAAATAAGACTAAAGAACTCGCTGCAGTGGACTCGGGGACAGAGTTCACCAAAAGGTGAATTAATTCTTAATTGCTGCTGGCATACCCAGTGTGTGTCTCTGTCTATAGTCTCTGTGCACTTGGACATTGAGAATGCCATCACATTTGTCTACGGGGTTTTCAGTTGTTTGGCAGGGGGAAGGGTTGGCCTTGTTTGTTAGTCTTTCTGGGAGCAGGTGAAAAGGCTGGTTGTTTCAATTTTGTTCTTTAATGCCAGAAATTTTTAAGAGACTTACATGGGTCACAGACTTGGACTACTAAAAATTAGGAATAAAAATTTAATTCCAAGTGCAGACATAACCAGCATCTGCACTTCAAACCTACGCCTTTACTTCAGTGTTTGTGAACACACTTCAGTCAGCTACTAAAAAAAGTCTTTCTGAAACAGACTGTATTTCCATCCTTTTCCAACCTGCCCTGGAACCTTAACTCCTCAAAACTAGTTTCAGGTGTGATGTTTGTAATGCTCTCTTCAGAAGCGGCATAAACCAAACCCACAGTCAAATATCCATTTTAATCCATCATAAAACAGCATTACCGTAACAGGGGTGGTCTCATTCCCTCCCCTGTGCCACCACAATTAGATCAATTAGGGAATTGATCAAGGTGAAAACCAGCTTTGATGGTTGGGATTAAAGAGCCACGTAACAACAGCCCTACATGGAAACCTTGATCAGGAAGGGTGGGAAACAGGGAGAAGGGATATACAGAACAACAAAGCCTCTTCTCATTTCTAGTAACAGGAGAGAATTTGCAGCTGATTAAAAAAAAAAAAAAAAAAGGTGACTGCGTTAACTACATCAGCTAGTCTAATAAAGAGACAACTGCTCTTTACCAGCCTGGCCTCTGGGTATTACTTCGACCTACAGTTAACAACATACATTAAGAAGTTTTCTGATAAACAAATTTGTGTCTGACTAGGCTTCTTCTAACTCCACACTCAGAAATTTTGCAGCCCCTTATTCAGCTGAAGCAAGTAAAGGTGAAGATCACAGAGGCAACTTATCCATGTTCAGTAAGACCACCAGCACAGCACAACACAACATAAACTTCACTCTTCATGCTGGTTTATATTGGAACACTAGGGGGGAAAAATAAAAGCAACTTCAGTGAGTTTAAAGCAGTGTACAGCTAAAACCAGCTCATCCCACTTCAAGTTCTTTAAAAACAAAATCTGGGAGATGAAAAATAACTGGTGGGATTTGACTCTGTGTGTGTGTGTATACCCACACATATATACAAGCATACACGTGTGTATATATACATGACAAGAAGAAGAGCTGCAAAAAATGGGCTGGATAGTAAGAGAAACGAGAACTTTCAAATAATGCGTTTGCTCAAAAGTATGAAATTGCAGGTTGACTTAATTTTAATCTCCTGAACAAAAAGTAACACTCTTAACCATGAGATGCTGAAGATTAGAAACATGAGAAGCATCAACAGAGCATGCGGGCATGGTAGCTGGCAACACACTGGGGTATGAGATTACGGCATGGAGGCGGGGGGGCGTGTGTGTTCTCCCACCAAGGGCCCTGGAGACAGATCACACCAGGGCAGGGATCGAGCAAAGTCACAGCCCAAAAGGGCAGTGCTGGAATGTGGCATCGCCTCCCCAGCGCCCGCTCCCCCAGGCAATTGTCATGTCACTGGGAGCTCATGGGAGATATCCAGAATGCGTACCCGGAGCAGAACAAGCTGATACCATGTGGTCCAGTTAAGCGAAAAGTAGGTGTTTGCCCGTAAATACTGGAAGGCTGCATATATGAAACAGTGGAGAAAGGGGCAGGGGGGATCTTGTTGGTACAAACCGAAGTACCAGGTTGACATTAAGGTAAAATGAAAAGATGCAGGCTGATCCTTGCTAGGAAAGCCTGCCTGGGTATGGAATAATCCTCCCAAGGAAACCGCACTGCTTAAGGCAACTAAGATGGAGCAGGACATGGCAGGGAAGGGAGCTCCCGGCTGAGGCTTCTGTCAGTACTGAGCTCCACCACCACTCACAGGGGAGGAGGCGTGCATTGTGTGCATCCATCCTCCAAAAAACAGCAAAGCCTTACCTTGCGTTGCGCATATTATATAGGTATATTTTAAATCACCAAGGAATCCTCCAACACGTCTTTGAAAAAGTTAGTATCTGTCTCTATCCCTGATCAGTGCTCAGGCTAATCCCATGCTCTTAATTATCCTCCCAAGAACAACATTCAGCACACACTTATGTAATACACAGGAGACAGCTTTATGATATGGAGGCACCCACTTGATGATAAGTTCTGTACAACACTACTGCATTAGTCATCATCCTCACTTGGGGTTTTTACAGTATGCATTGTGCTTGTAAAAGAAGGAGGGTGTGTTTCCATTTAAGTAGCAATATGGCATAGAAACATTTCTAATGTGCTCCACTGGTAGACTGTCTGTTTCCTGGCTCAAGGGCAAACAGTTTACAAAAGTCCTCCCTACCTCCAAACTCTTCTTTTGCAGTCTGCAACATCTCTTCACTCACCTCAAGATTCTATTAGGGACAGGTCACCTACTAAATTAATGCTAACATTTAAAAAGTAAAAACACTTCAATCATCAGCTCCATTAGCCTTCCAGTGAGAAAATGCACATTAAATCAAGCTGCAGGGTCTGAAATTTAATTACAAGTTTCACATCACACAAAAAGAAGGTTTGGGGCCACATTTTTAAAGTGAAGGCGCCTCATAGAATATGTACATCTCTTATTTTGCATATAGGTTCCTATGTCTGCTTTGCTGCTTGGAGGGGGTTTCCAAGATGCCTGCAAATGTAAGAGACTGCTGGCTGGAAAAAGGTCTGGATTAGACCATTCTTTTCTGAACTTAATGGAAAGGATGCGAAGGCCTTCCTGTGCTTCATATGCAGAGCAAGTAGCAACAGTTCAGGGATGTCAGCAATGATCTCACAGAAACATTTTTTTTTTCTTTTTAAAAACACTTCACACGCTGTCCCCTTGTATTACATCACCACCCAGATATAAGCTATACAGCAGGCAGAATATCAGGCAGCATTTCAACCTCCTGAAACAATGAGAAAAATACAGCCTTCATATCTTGGCTCATGGATGAGTCAAGAATTAGGAATTTAACAAGTTATGCAAGCAAGCACAAACTATAGGTAAATAATTACTTAGCAGAGGCCTCTCAGCAGCAACATTTGAGAAAATACTTTCAACAGTTCAGATCCTGATGTTCTGGTCATAATACCATGGACCACCTATAGATGCCTCCTACCTCAGAAAGAAAATCCTTCTAAGAAGCAAACCGCTAATAGGCCTAGTAAAAAATCTGCGACTGTCCCAGGTGTGATTTCATTAGAGGCACACACCTCTTATGGCTCCAACCCCCATCACGACATCAGGAAATATGTTTGCATTTAATGAAAACTTAATTTTTAGAATGGTAGAGCAAGACCCAAGCCATTTGACCAGTTTGAGAGGGACAGGAAAACAAGGATTAGATGGATGATGGCACGGCTAAAAATCTATGACTACTTATACTGAGTTATATCATCCAGCCAGCATGATTAATCCTGAAATTCTAAGATTAAGAGTTTGGCTACTGATCCAGGGCGGGGGTGAGGAGAGTAGGAAATCAGGAAAAACATGTATTTTAGTCTCTTTTCTCCCAAAAAGGAAGGATCAGAAAACAAGCACAACCTCCTTAGTCCATCTGTCAAAACAGAACCTCCAACAGAGAAGGCCAAGAAGTTTGCTAGCTTATGCTGGAAACGGATAATAAAAAGAATTTCATACTGATACAGCCACAAAAATTCCCTTAATTGACCTCTGGTATGTATAAAAGTCAGGACAAAGATACTTCTTCACTGTATATGATCTGAGCAAATGAAAGAAGATGAGTTGCCTCTGGGAAGGCTTCTCTGGACTCCAGCTGTAGAGGAGATCTGGGTATTTAATGGAGTGTACAAAGCTAGGAGGACCTAGACAGAACAAGGTTACTACTGGGAGCTGTGGAAGTGGGATCGATGATTTATGGGTTCACACTGGTTTTTATTCCCTGTTCTCACCTCCCTCATGACCCTAATACGAGGAGATTTACAGCAGGACCCATTAGGTCTCAAACCCAGAGTTCACTACACTAGCACCCTCCTAAAATTTGAGGGTAGTTCTCACAAGCTCCATAATTCTACCTCTAATTTACACACCAAAACGGTGCATAAATCAGGTAGATGAGTTTGGGAATTGGAGGGGTTGGGTTGGTGGGCATTTTTCTAATTCAAAAGGAACGCTGCTGGTTTCTCTTCGGGCTTTGAGGACGGCAGGAGCCATGCAAGAATATCCAAAGGTGGGTCCCTGGCACAGAGTGCCCAACGCGTACCTTGACGTGGTAGTGGGCATCAAGCAGGATGTTTGCAGGCTTGAGGTCCAGGTGGAGCAGCGGAGGGGACATGCAGTGCAGGAAGTTCATCCCCACAGCTGTCTCGTGGATGATGCGGAAGCGCAATTCCCAGGGCAGAGGTTCAGAAGCCAGGAGCTTTTCCAGAGATCCCGTTTCCATGTATTCCATGACCAAGCCAACCGGCTCCTTACAGATGCCGTAAACAGGAAGGATGTAGCGAAACTTTGCCATTTCCATCTTCCTGGCTTCTTCCAACAACTCCATGCGCTCCCTGGGTGGAAGAGAACAGATGGTGAAGGATGGAGTAGCTGTTTCTCCCCCGGCTCCCCAGCATGCACAAAACATTTCTTAGGAAACTGAACACCACATTTCACAATCACCACTTGGCTGAACCATGCTACATCTCACCAGCCTATACTCCAGGCATATTTCCACATTTACTAACTTTGGTTTGTGCTTCTAATGGCAGGCAGCTCACAGCTGCTGAACCACAGGCGAGTTGTACGCTTCAACAGCGCAAGTATCCCCAGCGCAAAGCCCATCTCCCCACTTTGATGTTGAATGCTCTGCTGTTAAGAATGAGGACAATACATGTAGTGCCCAGATTTACCACCGCTGTAACTCCTTGGGCTGAAGTCATTAACTTTTTGGGAGTCATAAGACCGCGTGAATCGGGAGAGAGCACGGACAGCATTGTTTCAGCTGTCCAGCTGGTGCAGGCTGCCAGCGTGCAGCCCTGGGTCTTGGGAGAGGAATCCCCGGGACTCACCATTTAGGGGAGCAAGCTGCCTGCTGTAGCTAGGGGGGCACAGCAAAAGCCTCCTTGTCCTCAAAACTCAGATTTGGCAACTCCAATACTATGCTCACTCCGCTCCAGCGGATGCCAAAAGCTCCCAGGCTGCCATTTTTGGTGATGTAACAGGCCCAGCGTTGGCACCCGTAATGAGCATCCCTGGTTTGTTAACACACTTTAGCCTGACCCTGCAGAGCCCTAAGCATTGCTGGGTCCAAGCTGCAGCATCCCAGGTCAAGACCCTTAATTGCCATGCCCTCCTCCTGCACCTCACACACGGCTTTTGGGCTGAGGACCCGCCGGGCATCAAGTTGGAAAGAGGAAACAAGGGTCCTCTCCCCAGGCTGACTGCACCCACAAAGAGGACCCATTCGTGATGGGTGAAAGAATCTTCTGTCTGTCAAAAACTACATTATTAGTGATGATGGGCAGTAGCCAGAGCAGCTTTGGGCGATGGGTACTGATGCATCACTGTTGCTGCCACCCACCGATACACAACAGAGGACACAGGGAGGTCAGATAGGTAATATTTCCTGAACAGACTTGCTGTTATTACACGACAGCTCTTGTCCCCAAGGTGTGTACACTACTTAATGGAGAACAGTAACTGAAGTAGCGGGACAAAATTTTAACACAGACATCTGATAAACAGAGAGTCCTACTTTAAAAGAAAAAAAAACATTGCTTTGACAGCCCCCAACCCCATGCAGACATTTTGAGATGACCAGCTCTCCTGGAAGATGTCAGGCTTTAAATACAAAGCTCAGTGAGCACATTCACAGCATCTGCAACAACTGATCAGAAGAAAGCTGATCATACCCTCTGCGAGACAGAAAGCTGTCGCCTGTCCCCTCCGCCTGTCCCTGAGAGCTGGAAAACACCTGGGGACCGATCCTGACCCAGTCACAGTTTGTGCCCTCAGCCAGGTGGCAGCTAGTTACCACCGTGAGATCCTCTGCCATGGCAGAGCTACCCAGTGAAGTCCCCCATTCCCTTGTGTCCCCCCTCCCAACACCTGGATGACCCAGGGGGCAACATGCACCACCCGTGCTGAAACGCAGCCTGCAAGGGACCCTCAGTGCTCCCACGTGGGAGCGATTTCAGGAGCCGTCATTTAGCCCTTACACTCCACATTAGGACACTCCTGTGACCCCGTCCTCTTCCCCTCCACTTCATCTCCTGCGGGAAGTGCAGAGCTGATGTTTGCCCAGACAAGGTTGGAAAAGCAGTCTGCTGCCTGTTCCTCACCAGCTGCAGCTGTCTGCAATAACCCGATGCAGTTAACATTTCACTCTAGGGGTGAGTCTAGCCTAGCAAGAAGAGGCAGACCTATCTCAGGGGCAAGATCAAGCTGAAAAATAGTTTGAGGGACATACACACTGGGAGAAAAAAGAAAAAAAAAAAAATAGAGAGAAAAGATTTCCCTTATATTAACCATGTTGGCTCCTGCTGCTCCCTACAGCAACTTTCTTGTGAAATAATTGCCTTTGTAGACAAGTACCCAGTTTGCTCTTTGGCACGCTGGAAGGGAGCGCCTATGAATAACACAACCAACTCCTTGCCCCCAAGCCACATGCATAGCCAGCATAATTCACCAGGCTTGGCGGGCTGAGCTCTGGAGTCAGGGATGTAAAATACCTGTCTGAGCCCTCCAAGGCAAGGCAAGAAACCAGCAACAGCTAAAGCCTAACAACAACCACTAGACTCCTGGGGATGGGGTTCCCGGCCTAATGACAGCCTCAGAGGGCATCAACAAAATCACAGAGATTGGCTGCTTGAAACGGGGCATTTTTCCCTACCAAGAGAGAATTTCCAGTTTCAGCAAAACAAAACAAAGCTCCCTTTCTGCTTGGACCAGGCCCAGTTATTTGAGTGAATTAACTGACCAATTAACACACAAGTGCCCTTTATCTAATTTGCTTGTTTAAATAAAGCCCCCATACAACAATCGACACCTTTTGCATCTTCCCATACCCAGAGTATTCGAAACTGAATCAGCCAGAGATGTGGTATGCCAGGGACACATGTCAGTTTTCAAATACAGGCCGCCCCTGCCACCTTTAGAAAACAGAAAAAGAAAAAAGACAGATGAAGTAGAGAGCCAAAATACCACTCCGTCATTAGCCAAGTGCTGGAGTGCACTTGCATGAATCCTATTAACACAAACAGCTGTTTAAACCAAGATCTCCTCCATCAGGCAAAGATGAAAGGCCTTTCCCTCCCCTCAGTGCAAGGTGCTGCAGGCACTCAGCAAAGCCTTAGGTGTTCTCAATGTGCCCTCACCTCAATACACAAGCACTAGTGTTGCAACAAAGGATGCTGTAAGTGTCCTTCAAGTTCACGTTTAACATCAAAGTATGGGGTTGAGGGGCGGCGGTTATGCTGCTCAGTTACTCCTGGTGCTTAGAAATTATTCTGCACTATCACCAAGAAACACTCCCCTCCAAAGGAGCAGAAAAGTTCTTCATGAGGTTTGTCAGTCAAGAGGCATGGGACTAGCCTCTGTTATAACATTTAACACCTACATGATTAGAGTCATAATTATCTTCTCTAAACACCTTGGCTCCATTCCCCTCCCCCTCCAGTACTATATCCTAACATTACGGTAATAAAAATTAAAAAAAAAAAAAAAAAAAAGAAAAAGCTTGCATACAGGACAGCTGAGCTCATGTAAATCATGGGGTGCGTACACTTTCCCCTATAATAGTATTAGAAGACAGGGGCACATGCATCAAGAGACCTAGCACTGGGTTCGGTGCCAAATAGCATGTCTGTCAGAGAAGTAGTCAATGACAGAACAGCCATTTTCAACACAATCAGAAACATCTACATACATGAGGGACCTCTGACATCCTCGAAACAGCTCTCTGCTTCTGCTCAATTTCAGACCCTGAACTGATAGGGCTCCATTCTTTGGATTCTCCTGGAGAGACAAGGGACTTACTCCTGCCCACTGCCTCGCTCCCCAGGGACCAGGGCCCAACCCTTGAACCACAAACCCTGCCACAAGAACAGCAAGAATTACAGCTACATCCGCATTTGCATGTATCCAATCTTTATGCCCTAAAGATAACACTGTGTTATAAAAATGCAACTTTAATCTCACCAGGCAGTCCTTGCAGTTTTATACTCCCCCACCACTATCATCACATTTCCCTAATGGAGTCTGAGACTGAGCAGTTAAAGTTGCTCAAGAGAAAACTCAGAAAGCCCTGAAAACGTGTCACGGGGCTATTTGTGTGAACCACCCCCAGATGCAGAGCAGCCAGGCTTCTGCCAGCCCAGGGGAGATCCAGCCCTGCACAGCCACACTGCTCTCCAGCAGGGAACCCAAGTTACCTCTTTAGAAACTGCTGGTGGTGAAGACGGGATCCACAAAATTACAACACTCCTGATTTTTTTCAGGGACTCTTTTCATCTGCGTCATGGCAGATGTTTAAGAGCATATAGTGACCTTGGCCCTGCAAGGTACATCTTTAATGATCTTCACACTGCTGATCCTCAGAGAAGAATGGGAGTAAGAGGAAAAAAAAGAAAAAACACTACATGATGAGGGCAGAATATGTTTGGGTGAAAAAAAAAAAAGACAGGAATGAAAATTCCTTCTTTCAGGTTAACACAGATATCAGCCCTGCTAACATATCTCTGTTGCATAGGCCTGGTACAAGGGGATTACATGTTAACTTGGACAGCTAGGCTCACCCCTACTCTTTAAGGAGCACAAGGTGAGCATTAAGTTCTACCTACACATGCAGAGACCACCAGAACAGACATTCATTCACCTTCCTCACCTAAATAAATGTCGCATCTGGTAACATCAAGGCATTTCTAAAGCCTCCTAAATTTCTAAGTTCTATTCCATTCCTAAATCCAGGTCCTGCAGAGGGAGGTACATGTAGGGCTTTGCTCTTTTTTTTCCTTCCCCCAATAGAGAAGGCAGACATTTCCACCTCCACACCCTGTAGTCACTCCCACAGCTAACACCTGCAGCGAAGAGCCCTCTCTGGGAACTGTCACATCCTTCATACTCTTGATAGTCCGCACGTTTACGTTCAGCTGTAAGAAATCCATAAAAGCTCCCAGGTTGTCCTCTCTGAGTTTGGCACCCTTTTTCCCCAGGCCGTGCTTTCCATTCTGGCCAATGCAGGGAAAGAGAAGAGCCTTTGTGCTCCCCACTGCAAGTCCTGCGGGGGCGGGGGGAGAGGCTCCTCCGGCTTTCTGTGTCACACACTTTTCTTCAGGCTTATACTGAACCTCCCCATCTTGAGTCGCATGTGGGAAATGTGATCTCAGGAGACAGAAAGTGGGAGCATGTAAGGTGTTAGGAATGGAATTTGGCTCAATCGCCTGAGAGGGCTTGGGCTTAAAGGTAAAAGCCACTTCTGGCTGTACATTTGTTTTTTCTTCTACTTGAGGCCACTTGGCTCCATGGTGTGATAATTGCCAAGGGAATTACTCCAAATATCTTACTGTCTGCAGAAACAGTAAGAGAGACTACAGAGTATTACCAGCACCAAGCCATTACAAACATGGTTTTAATGTGGTACCAAATAAATAAAAAAGAAAAAGCCTTGGTGTTCTTCAGTTAATGTTTCTGATACCACTGGTAATTCTTCTAACTCTACTGCTTCACAGGGTTCCAAGAAATGGCTAGTCAAGTTAATCTCCTGGATTAACAATCTAATTACACAGGCTTGTTTCAACCTGCAAACTAAAGAGGTAGTGCTTTATTTTGTCTGTGCCCCCCACCGCACCCTGCCATCTGAATAGCACAAGTTTCTTAGAAAAGTTTTGAGTGAAAAGACTCTTTGGGGAGCAGCATTACCAACTACTGAAAGGGGTTTAGGCAGAGCACCCTAAGGACCAAAGGAGAAACATATACAAACTCAGCTTTGCTTTATTTTGCAGAAGCAGCTGTTTCAGAGGCCAGGGACCATCCAGTTTCTAACTAGTGCTCCCTTCAAGCATCTGAAGCACAAATTCTGCAGTAAAACAAATAAATTAGTGTTTCAGGGATCAGTTTGTTAAAATTAACCAGGAGCTGCAGGAGCCCCATGCCCTCAAAGTTCCCAAATTCTCGAGGCATTTTTGTACACTACATGGCATGTTTGTGTGGTCTCTCCAGTATCTGCACACCTCAGTCACCAAGACACTGGTGGTTCTCTATTGCACACTGAATATATTAATATATAGATTCGGTAGCAACTCTCAAAATTAATCGCTCATGTTGAAACAGGTGACATCATCCTTTGTCTCAGACTGAAAATTAACTTTCCATTAAATTTCTAGGTGTGTTCTGCAACTGAAAAGTTTAACAAATGTCCTAGATTATTTTTAGGGGGTGTTTTAATTTTAACTGCAAAATTAGTCAGCTACAGTACTATTTTGATTAGGCCTCAATAAGCATCAAGGCTGAAATCTACGTTAAAGTTTTAAGGGTAGGAGGGCTTGCAGGTTAACCCAATAAAACACCCTCCGCAACTCTTAAGTCTTTTCCGTTTTGTTCACAGACAGCACCGTTACCTTACGCATATATTAAACTCTCCCTTTTCCTCTTTTAGAAAAGGGATGTTTTATCTCATTTACTATACTATATAAGCCATGACTACAGCAAAGTCAGCAATTCAGACAATGGGCAATCTGCCCCTCTACCCTAATAATCTCGTAGAAGTCGGGGTTACAAGTGTTTTCAGTGTTGGGCCAACTTATCTCCCTCCTCCTGCAGAAACCACAACAAGGGAAACCTTCTGTGACCGAACCAACCCACATCTCAAAAAAAATGAACTACAGATTCAGCTCGTGAGTTGGCAGAGATCCGAGAGATCAAGGTGGAGCTGGAAAAGCTCCATGAACACGACTCAGCCATATTCACCTCCCTCTACTCGGACGCCGACCTGCTAGGAAATCACTCCTGTCCCTAAAAACAGAAGGATGTTTCTGAAGATGCACCTGACAGCCTTCCTCTCCTAGGAGAGAAGAGCTGCACTCAATAGGCCCGGTCACACCCAGGCTGTGTGCGGGCAGACGATTGTCCTCCACCATGGGCCACAACTAGTTACAGCGGGCAAGGGACCCGGAGGGGGTTCTCGCCACGTGCTGTCTTTACCCGATATACAATACGGCTCCGCACTGGACTACCCAGCGAGGACTCATCTTGAGCAAACGCAGGGAGAAGCGCCGGCCACGAACCGAAGCTGGAGAACCTATTTCCCAGAACATCTCCTTTCAGCACCCACTCCCGAAAGACAGCGGGCCCACGGCTGCGGCACCCACGCCAAGCCCACGGCTCGCCCCACTGCTAGCCACCACCAGCTACCACACAGCAGTCACAACTCGCGCATCTGCGAACGCAAGCCAAAGGGCGAGCAAAAAAAAAAGAGCAAAATGCAAGCCCAAAGCCATCTTTTCTCACGGCCAGGAGCTCGCTGGTACAAGACACAGCGGGCCTGAGAAGTCCCCGGAGCCCCTTCGGCATTTTCGTTCCTCCTGCGCTTCCCGTTCAGGGCTGCCTCCCGTGACCTTTGGAGCCACAGCGGGCGTAATGCTTTAGCACAAGCCAATACATGCACGACCAGGGCAGGGCAAAATGTTTTCCGAATGGCTCCAAGGGAACAGGCAAGACCTACAGTGCAGCCATGCGGCGGCTCTTTCCAAGCGGCCAAGCAGCATAGCTTATTCTTTGAGGGAGGCCGGCCCCATTAGGTACGATATAAATAAAGGTGTTGGTCCGTGCTTCGCTTAAGTGTGACAAAGGCCACGTTTGACTAGGGAATATTTAATTGCGCAGCCCTCGTCGCGGTGTTTAGTCAGACCTTCGTACCCGTTGTTGCTGTTGGTAAACAGGGCAGCGAGATGGGCTGCAGCTACGGCCCTCCCGCCACCTCAGCGGGGCTGGGCAGGTTTGGTTTGGTCTTTGCCAAGTACCCTCCTAAGATGTGTAACTCTGGGCTACGTTGCTCGGTTTGTTTCTCAAAAGTAAGGTGTTGTACGGTCAGGACGAGAAGTGTTACCATCTGGTGTGGCCCTGGAAGTTTGAAGCGCTGTTAAGCGTGACTACTGACATTTGCGTGCCTCGTGTAGGCTGAGCCGAGAAGAAAACGAGGGGGGGAAAAAAAAAAAAAAAAAAAAAAAAAAAAAAAGAAAACGAACACAAAACCAAAAACTCAACAACAAAAAAAGAATGGGGGAGGGGGGGGAAAAAAAGTATCTCCTAAACTCCCGGGAGGCGGGTAGGGCTGGGGAAGAGGGGAGCCCTCAGCCGCGGAGTGACTGAGGGCTCCAGGGCGACCTGGAGGGGGTCGGTCCTGCGGGAAGAGCAGCTTCCCCCCTCCCCGCTCTCCCCCCTCCCCCAGCCCCCCGTCGCCCCTTACTTCTCATCCACATGGAGGCTGGGCGAACACTTGATGGCGAGCCAGGTCTTCCAGTGGAGATGGCGCACCTTATACACCTGCCCGAACCCCCCCGAGCCGATCTTCTCCCAGCTGCCGAACTCGTTCTCCTCGAAGGTTTTCAGCAGCCCCATGGCCCACGGGGAACCGCTCTCCCGTGCCATGCTGCTGCTGCTGCTGCTGCTGCTGCTGCTGCTGCTGCTGCTGCTGCTGCTGCCGCTGCCGCCGCCGCCGCCGCCGCCTCTCCCCGCCCGGCACCGCGGTGCCCAGGGCCGCCGCCGCCCGCCCAGGTGAGTCAGGTATGGGGGGGGGGGGTGGCGGCGTCACTTCCTGGGCCGGGCCCGCCCCGCGGGGAGCCGAGCGCTGCCAAGTCGGGGAGGCTCCCGGGGGGAGTGTGGCGGCACAGCCCGGCCCTGCCGCCGGTACCCACGGCCCCGCTCCCCGCCGCAGCGCCCTCGCTCGGCCCCCGCGGGGGCGGACAGGGTGTCCCCGAGGGCCCGGGCAACGCTTGGGGCCGGGCCTATTGCTTCTCTCGGTACCTACAAAAGGGCGGTTCCCCCCCGCCACCGCCGCCCCCCTCTTCCCTGCCGGGTGCTCTGCGAGCTCCCCCCCCCCGCCGTGTCAGAGCCCGGCATCGGGGTGCGACACGCGTGTCCGAAGCTCCTGGGGCAGGAGGGGAGCGCTGCCCGCGCAGTGACAATTAAGCTATGGAATCATGGAGGGTGGGGGGAGAGGCATGGGCAGCTGCGCCCCATCCTCTTCTCCCGCCGCGGGGCCCGCTCCGGGAAGCGCAGAGGAGGGTGAACCCCCTCATCGGGGTGGCAGCGGCTGGCATCGGCCCAGGCGAGGTGTCTTGGGCTCTGGGAAGCTGTTCCGCCCAGAGCCGACACATCCCTGGTTTTCAGTTGCCCCCGGGAGTAGGAGCCTGGGTGATCCCGGCAGCAGGTTTTGATGCCCGAGTCCTTTCATGGCTCTAATTGCAGGTACCCCGGGACTCGGCCCAAACAAAGGGCCTTTCTCTGTTACCCAGATGCTGCAGTGGGAGGGAAGGGCTCTGCAACCTTTGATAGGTAACGCGATGGTGAGGCGGCTATTCTGATCTGCATCGTGACTTTCCTGCCTATCACGTGTCTAAAGGTTAACGAGGCTCGTGTTTGTTTGTTATGCTGAATATCGGACTCAGGTTGATTGTTCTGGGCACTTAGCGTATGTTCGTTTAATCTGGCAGGTTATGCAATAGATAGAGGACAATGTATTTTAAAGCTAGGATAACAGCAGTAGTCAGCCTTGTCTTTGCGAAGCTTCACTTAAAAAGAATCGGAAGAGACATTTAATTACTTTCAAAAGACGTGGGACACCAAGTCTCTTCTCAGGGCTTTATTCCACGTGGACTTGTTCCTACTTAATTTACTCTGGGTTAAACTAAACAATGGCTTACTCTGAATGAGAACATCTGTGTATAAATAAATCAGGAGTAAGAAATAGCTGTGTGTAGAGGCAAGCCCTTAGCTCACCTGTGTGACCCATCACCACACCTCTATCTGACCCCCTCCTGGCTATCATCCTAACTTGTGCCTTGCTTTGATTTGGGACTTCAGCTGCAACTGGATCATCCTGGAGAGACTGCCATGCTCTCAAGGTGCTCTGCTTAAGCTGAAGGGATTTGGAGAACCAGGCCTTGGCCACTGTATCTTCTGGAGGTGAGCACGACTTTGTTCCAAATAGCACACCAGATATTTTATTCTACCAATGATCCATTGTCATTCAAACTCCTGTTTCATCAGGAAGATGGTGAAAGTTGTAAAACTGAGTTAGACAAAACCCAACTTGCACTTAAGTGGCAGTTGACCTTAAGCAAAAAGTAGATTATTATTGTCTACCTGCACTGTGAGTTGAGAATTAATTCAACAAGCACCAGCAACAAAGGAGTGAAAGCTCATGACAGAACATGGAAAGAGCCCATCTAAGAGAATTTAAATTACTTAAGTGCTTTCAAAAGGGCTTGGCCTAAATAAAATTCATATTTAAGGTGCTTAGAGAACTGGCTGCCCTGGCTCTGAGCTTTTAGTTGAAGTGTAGGAAGACTGGAAAAGGGCACCAGAAGAGCTTGGGTTCAAGAGGCAGAAAAAAGAGGTGGCAATGGAATTCCAGAGCAGCTAGGTCCCAGGTCCCTGACCATAAATGAATAAATAAATAAATAAATAAATAAATTTTAAAAAATGTGCTAATAGCTAGCCACGCTGACAAATGACAGTCAATAGCAGGTTTATTGAGAACAAATCATGTGAAACCAACCTAACCTTATCTTTTTTGTGGCAAGGTAACCAGTCTTGTATAAATCCTTCTTTCCCGTGTACATACATTAGCAGGAGCATCGCAAAGAAACTCTCTGCTTACTCTGTTTCACCGTCTTGAAGGATTTCTCAGTGCTTTAGCCTTTGCTTTTTAGAATGAAATCCTTCCAAAGATTTGCTTGGCGTGTATGAAGGCAACCAACCTGAAGCTTTAACAGGTCATAGGACACCTCTGTCCCCTAGGTTAGAGCTAAAATATTTTGCTTCTGTGTTCTGTGAACAGAGCAGATGGCAACTATGTAATAGCTTTAAAGGTGATACAAAAAAGCACTAATTTGCAACATTCCAAAAAGATAAAACAAAAATCTGTCTGCTCGTCCACTCTGCAAACACTTAAGGTATGCTTAGGTTTTTATACACAAAGAGTGCAATACTGCAGTTGGCTTAAGCCAACCTAAAGCTGTGTTGTCTCTGAAGGAGGCTGCCATCCCCTTTTAGTGCCAGTGCTAGCATTCACACGGTTGTAATAACATTCATGTGGTTGAACAGTAAATGAATTAGCTCAATGATCTCACTTAAAAAAACTCCCGTGGTTAGTTTTCAGACAGATCAGAAAGCTGGACTGACTTACCCGATGCTCGCTAATGTCAACAGAAGGGGAGGCAAGTAGGCTGGAAGGAAACTACCTCTGAAGAAGGTGATGAAAGGGGCATAGTTACATATCGTAGCAGATGCTGGAGTTCCTTGCTGATCTCATTTAAAGCACACCCTCACAAAAAACTGAGAAGTGTGGGGTGGAAGCGGAAATTAGCGGTAGGAAGAAGGTGGGAATTCTTAAACCAACTTTTCTGCCCAAGAAAATTTAAAAAAAAAGAAAAATGACAGCATATGTAATCCTACTGAAGTCAACGACACACTCCAGCTGGGCTGTTCCTAGTGCACAGTTGGGCACGTGTATGGATTTTTGCTAGTTCAGAGCTTAAGTTAACAGCAACTCTGCCTGCTCAGCACCCCGAGAGTCAGTTCATTTATAAATTGATCTGAACGTACAAAAGTAAGCTATGATTTAAAGGGCAGGCTGGGGACCATGCTTGGGCCTTCATCAGCGTGTTTTCAGTGCTTGTGACTGTAATAGCAGAACAAATGAGAACACAAGTTAATAAAAACCTTGTGGCTTCCTTGTAAAGCTGAGAACTCTAGAGGCGGAAAACTGAGGCACATCATAATTTGCTGGAGATCACATAAGAGCCTCACTGTAGAGACAGAACATACTCTGTATTTTATGTGATCTAGTAAGAAAATTACTGTTTCAGGGCTTTAGATAGGCTTTGCAGATTGCTTTTAATGCTTCTTACTTTGTGGAATTATAAGCCAAAAGCCAGATCAGAGCAACCACTCCTCTCCCAGATGCTTGAATTTAAAGCCTGTGCAAAATAATGGCATTGCTTAATGATCCAGCTTTGAGAATTTTTCTTCCAACAGACAAATACTGTGTTTTTTCAAAACTTTTCTTAAAGACCTAATTTTCTTAGAAAATACTGATCTATTTTTGTTAACATTCTTCCTTTGTAAGGATAATAAAAAGCCCTGCTTTCAGGAAATTAACTGAGAAGTTTTAAACAACCTAAATTTTACATATATCTCATTATCAGCTCTGTTCATGCTGCTAGAGAGCACCTGTGCAAAGTGAAAAAAAATACAAATTAAAAAAAATTAATCACATTCGTGTAAGCAGTGAATGACTAACACAGTTGTTTCTGTGGTATTAAGGAAAAGAACGCCTAGTTTTAAGTTTTTGTTCTCAAACCTCTGAGAACTTCTGCATGAGTTCCTCAAGCTCGATCTTGCTCTGCTTCCTGGCAGACACGGTAATTTTTTCGGTGCGTTTTCCCCTGCTGTTAGCTGTGCTGCAGGGCACCATCTCTGAGGTCATTATCAAAGGGTTTCTTTGTCAGCCTGGCAAGCTCTCTCCTCCTGCCGCCACAAAGCCAAGGGCTAGGCCGGTCCCACCGAAATCCACAGAGGTCCTGTGCCAGAGCCACAGTCAGACACGATGCTGGTTTTACAGACTGGAGTGGACCTGTGCCAGTTTACCTTATCTGATGATCTGGCACCATGAGAACAAGTCCCTCATGACTCACATCCACCTCATCCCTGGTGTGCACGGAAAGAAGTTGTTTTTCAAGCTGGGTCCCGCAAATCCCAGCAAATAATGTCTTGTTTCTCCTAGAGCTTCTTTCTTCTAGGAGGTGCTGAATAAAGCGTGTGTGTTCAGCAAAGGCATTTGCTTGACATCTACCCCGCGTCACACAACGTCATGGGGCAAGGTGGTGGGGTGAGGCAGGGCACGGAGCCTGCAGGCACCCTCCGTGGGCCCTTCCGCGGGAGAGCACTCGGCTGCACTTGCTGGGGAGGAAGCAGCTCTCAGAGTCATGCTGAAAATTATAGCGGGAATGCAAACCAAGTTTTCAAACCCAAATAGATTTACATAGTTATTTTAGTACAAATAACTAGCATGAAACATTTATAGTTTGGTATCAAAATCAGAAAAAAAAAAAAAAAAAAAAAAAAGAAAAGCCTCTTTTCACCAAAGTGCTTTCATTCAGATGGATATTTTATTTTGCTTTGTACATGCAAACCAGTATGTTGGAGTGTTAATAGAACACTTAAATCATAACATAAAATTTGAAAAAGCTCTGAAAAAATGGCTACGAAATCCATTGTCACCAACTACTACTGCCTAGTAAATATACATGTGTTAACAAAGACTCTATATACAAACTAATACAAGAATGTATATTCTAAACTAGATTACTGACAAGAAAATGGATGTAACTTTTTAGCATTGCAAACACTGTGAATAATAATAGAGTGCAAACAGGTACCTAAGCAATAGTAGAATAAAACTGGAATGTCATTAAGCAGCATAACTGAGGGAAATGACTTTAAAATACGATTTTCAAAATTAGGTCTTCATTAATAAATTATCATCCCATTGTGTCTGTCCCCACAGTTGATTTTGTCTTCCAAAAGGTATTTAATATGCTCACGGCAAATTGTGGCAATTTAGAACCTGCAGGTCATTCCCTTGCCCTGCAAGCATGGTTCCACAGCTCAAATACAAGTCTATAATGGCACGTTTAAATCTATCGTGTGAAGCCCTGCATGGGCTTTGTGTAAATTAACCTTGGTTCCTGCAGTGCAGCTCCCAACCTCACAATCAGGCAGGCACAGTGATCTGCCCAAAGGAGTAAATTGTTGGATATTGGATTAGAGGCGTCTTTTAAGCTATTGTAAAAGATCTGGAAAAGACTCCTCTGTATTCTGGTTGACTAATACTTTCCATTATAAAGGACTCTTTCTTTGGGAAGCATTAGCACCTCTGTTGTTTGTTGCAGGCCTTTGATATTTAGCAGGGGAAATCCCAGAGGCTATAGTGGTACCTATTCATTGCCCAGAGAAACGTGAGTCAGTTTTACCTGTATTGTAAAGTATTAAAAATGCTGGGTCTCTGATTCATGCACAAAGGCAGATTAAAATCAGGCTGCCACCCACAGCTGTCTGGCCTGCCCCCACTGCACAGATGGCTCAGATGCTCTTGAAACATCAGCTGAATTGCCACAAATTACAGCCCAGCATATTTAATAATACTCAAACCTGAACACAAAGATCTCAGCTGCCTGCAAAGCAGGAACTTTTAAGGCAGGAACTTTTAAGGCAGGAACTTTTAAGGCAGGAACTTTCAAGGCAGCAACAAGGTGGACAGCTGTGGAAGGAGATTTTTACAGCCATCACTTTTAATCTGCCTATAGTTTTGACAGGGGACTTAAACTCCTTTTCTCTCTCTGGCCAGGATTGCTAAACATCCTAGACATCCTTTGGCTAGGCTGTTAGACTGAAGCAGCAGCGAGCGCTGCTGTCTGAGCCCCGGTGCCATGTCGGAGGCATTACTTAGGGCTCTCTCCCCCAAGCCCTGCTCCCCTGTGTAATGCAGCTCTAACAGAATGGCACAGACCCTCCAGCTGGCTCGCTCACCCCCACGCTCCTTGTGACAGCAAGCGTAGGAAGCTGAAGGAACAGTTCATGTAAGAGCGTAACGGACCCTCTGCTGATACCACCTCCTCACCTGCTCCTGCCGGCCTTCCTGAGGGCCCTGGGCAGAGCACTGGGCTCCTTCCTTCCTTCCCCTAATCCCGCACACAGGCCCAGCACGGCCTCACCGACCTCACATGCAACAGCAGCCGGCAGTTAGATGGTGAGGGGCCACCTCAGGGGAGACAGCTTTCTACAGAAGACACAGTTTAAATCCTCCCCCCAAAAAAGTGCCCCAGAATCCTTGGGGCTATGTGGCAAGCTCACTTCAATGTCAGACAGCCTATTTTTGTTCAGACTATTCCCAGTCTGTCTGATAGCCCGTTCTGGCTGGCCGCGGGCTCGGCTGTGTGCAGGCTGATTGCTTGTCCCGGGCTCTCAGTATCGCCTTGTCTCCAGAAAGGAGGGAACATTCAGTAGGCAGCAGTGATGCAATACTGCACCCCGTGTGCGCTGAGAGCGGCTTCCGAAGTGGCACATGAAGCCCTTCTCTAAGAACCTCTGGGTCCTCAAGGGACGCCGGCCTGGAGTAGCTAATACAGGGTAAGTCAGTCTTCTAGCTGACTGAATACTACCTTCTCCAGTGTGTAAGTCTTAACGTTATTTGGAGGGCTCATCAGTTCTTGCTTTGAAAAAATGCTTCAAACATTGTAATTCATTTTTACTGTGATGAGAGATACCTGGTTTTTTGTCTACGCTCTTTATACAAGAATCAAACAAATGTCTTTGCCAAGCACTTTTCCAGAATAACTATAGCTATGTGGAATTATTTATGAAAATACAGCTAGGTACATTTAGCTATGCTGACAATATAATTCATTTACCTTCTCATCATTGTACCTGCAGCACCCAACAAATTACTGTAGGATTTATATACCTTTTCGTATAATGGAAATTTTAAAGTCAGCTCTGTGAACATCTTTTACTGTTTTATTTAGGCATAACCTTCTCTTTTATTTAAATGTATTCATTTAACAATACATTGTAGCTTAAAAGTCCATTGTAATAATAAAATCTCTCTAATAACTATTTAAACAATTTTAAAGTCACTAAGTAAAGCTAAGAAAACTGCCACAATTCTGAATTTTTTATATTCGTCTCACAAGCTGTTATCTGGTTACTAATAAATAACCTAGTGGGCTAATAAAAAATGGGATGGTTCAAACTGTTCAACTCATGTATTGGCTCACACTTCCCCCATGGGCTATATTTTTTTAATAAATAAATACACACACACACATATATATATATATATGCGCTATAGGAATATACAGAACTTAGAAGTTTCTTCTCCAAAAGGTTATAAGTGAAAGTATTATATGTGCATAATACTGTAACTTGCATATATTCTCTAAGCACATTAGAGTAATTTAACATGAAAACTGAGAAAACAGTAGCATATAGAAGATTTGACAAGGATAAAAGTGAAGACTTTAAAATAGATTTTGTTTAAAAAATAAACCTCAAGAATATACTTTTCACAGTAAAAATCCACAAAAAGACTGTTTTTCTAGAAAGCTATCTTAATTCCCAAGCCCAGTTCCATTTCTACTAGTTTTTCCTTTACATTCATTGGTATTGCTTCATCAAATTTAGCAGAAGCACAATAGTTTTCAAATGTCTGTACAACACTTTGAAGTTCAGAATACACAGGCTCTGACATGGAAGTCTCTGTTTCTACCAGAACATTTTCTCCAGGATTTTGTGACCATGGCTGAAGTTGTGTGAAAAGTGTTTCTACTGTTGAAGTGTCTCTTTCGCAAGAGTCCCCTCTTCTTCCAAGACTATTTTGACTTGGTGAAGACTGATTTGTTACCATTTTGTTATTAAGAGCCTGACCTAAACCCATGACAGCATTATATGCTGCTAAATTCAAACTCATATGACCCTTGCCATCTTCTTTATATCTAAGGAAATAAAATTGAAAACACTGAAAATACAAGTTACAAACATAGCATTTACAGCAGAAAATAACATCTAATTAGATTTCCAAGGCTGAGAATGTCAGCAATTAAAAGATTAACTAGATTGTTATTTATTAGGTGGCATTCAAACAAATTACACTCTATATGAAGGAACACCTGCAAGAAGGTTCCAATAAGTAGTTTTTATCCAATATACATCACATAATAGAAAATAAGAAATACCTATTTATAATCACATTTTATTCACTGGATTTTCTTGTCCCAAAATGGAGAGCATGGCTTGTTTATACTACAGAAACTGTTGATATATTTATGTGCTCCCTTTTGTGGATACAATTTGCAGGGTCAAAGAAATTTTTTCACCAGTCTAGGTTACAAGAATTTCACATTGGTAAATGCTATAAAAGCAAAAAGACCTTTTTTCCTTGGTTTAACCACCTCTGTGCTAGATTTTCCATCATGATAGTGAAATGTAAGTAGTAAATTCTTTTATGCTTGGAATGTTTAAAATGGAACCAAACTTAAGAGAGCATTTCATTAAATATCTGGATCTCTTAAGGTGTTTAAAAAAATATTTTATGATCTGAACAAGAATCAACTGGTAACATACCTGAAACGAGAATGACTGCTGAGTTTATGAGCTTTTCGAAGATGTAGGGTCAACGTATAACTCCAGGAGAAACATTTCTGACAGATGTGGCATGCATATTTCAGAATGCCACCACTCTTGGAAAGGAAGAATGTTAGGGTCACTGAAGGCTTGCGCATATATGTGACAAAAGCTAATCCTTTGTTGAAAAGGGGAAAACCACACTAACTAGCTGAAAACCTCTTGAAAGTTAACTTCCTAAAATACTTGAAATTTGTGGGTTTTAGAACTTCTCTGATTAAGGAACCCTAGTGAACAGGGAAATTCTCTTCACTGGCCATTAGTACTGCAGGTATCTCCAACAGCAGTGTGACACATAGCTTCCACTAAAATACATTTGTTTTACAACATAGCAGTGATCATAACTCGGAAAGTTTAAGAAACAGACAACAAGTGTGCATGAACTATAGCATCCAAAGCTGTGTTTTAATGTTGTGGCCAGATGTAAGCTTTACACACTTTATAGTTTCTCTATTTTCAGATAACATATTAGTTCTGAGAATAGAGTACCAACATGAGGAGAGAGATGACACTGCTTTTTAACCTCTGAAATATTTTGCTGTTGAGATTTGGATTGGCATGGTGGTTTGTTTTTTTTTTTTAAAAAAAAGGGGGAAGGTTGGCCAGAGTTCAAGACTGTGAGTATGCAACTGCACGCACCTAATGTAAGCACACAAAATCTATAGGTAAGGATGAGTCAGGTATTTGCATAATACCTGCAAGAGTCTTAAAAATGTGTGCAAATACTTGATTTGATGCAAAAATGAAACATTTCATTAACTCACAAGAAACCAAACGCACATACATTTGAAACTTTAGTCTCACTTACAGCAATATATTTTATTCTGCTATTTAATATACTCACTACATGTGCTCTCTTGTAATGCTGTCTCAAAGTTTGTAAAGTCCGTGAAGTAAAACCACATCCTTCAGCATCACAGCTGTAGGCATCTGAATCATTGTGTGTTTCAACATGTTTATGCAGATCATACGCATTCTTAAAACTGAAAACAAGGTAAAACAAATAACAGATATAATAGGACAGAGGAGTAGTCTTGTGGTTAATGTTTAGGACTGTGAGGTAGTAATTTTTGGCTCTGACAATGACAAGTGAAAGTGGAATATGTGTAAATCACTTCTCTACCTCATTTTTTCCACCTGTGAAAAGGGGATAGTACAGGCATCTCTTTGATGTGCTCTAGATTTCATTTTCTATTCCCTTTTTCTTCCCACACATCCACACCATGCCCAAGTCTAGATAATTTCTCCACAACCATGTTGCAAGGCATCACCTTCTCTTTCTGTTCACGTAGAGAAAATTCTTGTCCATTATCGACCAGTCACTTCATCCTCTCTGGTCTAGAAATTCAGATTATTTCCTCTGTCCGCCCACAGTGTGAACACAAAAGTACTTACATATTTGTTCACTTTATCCCACTTCCAGCATGCAAAGGCTAGACTTCTCCTCTGGCAAAGTGAAACATACTTTGCCAATGCTTATATATGCAACTTGGTCTATCACATTACAATGCCACCTTCCCCCCCCCGACTGCTGTGTGGCATCATATGGTGAAAGCAGAAAAGAAACCACCACAGAAAAATGAGCGTGCCAGACAGCAGAAGGTCTAGTAAACCTGTGGCAAAAAGAATCAGTCAAAGAAGAAGGCTGTGATGCTCCCTGCAAACAGCCAACAATCATTTAGAATGGCAGACCCCACAGTTTAAGGCACTAGTGCTACCCATCTCAACTTGTTGTGATGACCATTTTGTAGTACACATAACCTTGCCAAGAAAATTCACTTTTTAACACATCAGCCCTACTTGCACCAGAAGTTTATGAACTACTGTGTCTCAGCAGCTGAAGGCAGATGAACAGCAGATGATCTATGAGATTTCTTCATTGAACAGTTGATTATTTTTGTGGTTGAAAACCTTTCTTTACTAACTCCTATGTAAAACACTAACTTGGTTCTACAGTTTTGCTCACATAGCTACAAGACCCAGATTTTCTTACCCCCTGTCACAGAGGTGACACCGGAAAGGACGTTCATCGCAGTGTCGAAATCTGATGTGTGCCTTCAGTGAGGAGACACTTGTGCATACCATATCACAAAGGGCACATGCAACTTGATTATCTAGAAGAGATAGTACAAAAAGAAAGATACTTTCAGTTCTGTATCAGCTTCACCAGGATACTGTCTGCTATGACATGTGACAAAAAAATGTATTAAAATATCATATTAAAATTAACAGATTATAATAATAATAAAAAAGGTAAAAATGGAATGCAGGTACAATAAAGAGAGTAGTGAAATAATAGTCAATCTTACAATGTTTCAAGTGACTTTCAAAAAATAGATGTATGGGGAAAAAGGTGTAGAGGATCACATTTCACTCTCCAGGCTCTAACAAAAAGGATGATTATTGTCTTGCCCTTGGCGCTTTGGGAAGATTTCTAAAAAGTGGATGTTGTCCAGAGGCCTTCTAGCAGACAAGCACTGGCAAATCTACTTTTAGTGTTTAAGGTAGTACCAACTCTTAAAGAGGTGGCCGAATGAATATGTGTCTGTCCTCCGCCTCCCCATTTCACATTTGGATGCATTTGCTTAAGGCAGAACAATGCTGGGCGCCTGCTAAACTGCCAGGCTATGAACTGCAACGGCCGAGACACTGGTTCGCTCTGACGACTCGAACTGGGGAGAACCTCTGGCAGATTGGCAGGCAGGCCTGTTCATCTTAAGCTGAACAAGTGCTTGATTTGCTGCATATGAATCAGCAACCTGATGAATGCAGTAGGAATAGTCTCAATAAAGAAGTTTCGGATTTGGACAAAAATCTGTTATATTTAAGACTTTGAAACAGTGCATTATTTTATAATCAGCCTAGTGCTTTACAGGTGGCTAAAGGAAAACATCCAGTTGAAGTGCTCATGTTTTCTCAGAAAAGGAAGAAAATTTAATGCACTGTAACTCTTCTGGAATGATTTCCTGCATAGGCACTTTTACTCATGGTTTGTCTTAAACCAGGAAAAATGGTTGTGTTTTGGGTTGTTTTTTTTTTTTTTTTTTTTTTTTTTTCCTCTCCTCTCCCTAAAATAAATAGCTTCATGTGGAAAACTAGTTTGGAATAACAATCTGTAAAACTGCATCAGTGAAGTTCAGCAGTCTCTGGAAATGGGAGTATCCAACAGTTTGCTTAGTTGGCTGGAATGTAAGTATGTCCATGTAGGGAGTGATTTCCGAATACCTACAGCATTTGCATTCACATCACTGTTAATTTCAGAATAATTTCTTCTAGACAGTCAAGCTTTTTAAAACAAAATTTTAATATTTATCTATACCAGCAAGCTATTATGAAATACACTGGGGTAAGAATCTGAAAACGTCATGTCTGAACTGGCAGCCTGCACTAATATGCAGACACATATACTGCCAGAACTTTTAAAGAAAGCTGAATCATGAACTGGGGAAGTAACTGGCTCTATTATCTGAAGGGATTTAGGTTGCACCTAAACAGTTGGACCCAGGAATGCCGCCCAGCTCCTTCAGCCAAGTTCACATTGCAGCTGGTTCACTGTGTCTTACTGGGACATGACACGGGTTCACAACATCCTTGTTCCTAGGTCCAGCCACCTTGTGATTTTCCCTGGCTACACAAGCAGAACAGTCTGCATTATCAGGGGACAAGGACAGCCAGGCACACTGTACAAGTCACAAAGGTTTAAGTGCAGCCAGAGTGACCAGAAACAAGCAGTTTCATTAGCCATGTGCTTTATTTAATATATCAAATCTATCTTAATGTGTGATATGCTTTAACAAAAAAACACATAAAAAAACCCCCACAAAAACAACAGCATATTTAAGCTGCTTCATTAGCTAATAAAAACAAAACCAAAAAAATCTGAATTTGTATTTATTTCCAATTTCTATCCAAAATCACATTGAGACAAAGGAATAAAACTAATCTAGTAAACAAAGCAAAAATAATTATCTATTTTCTAATAATATATGAAAATAAACATATTTTAGTCAGATATGTGTCAACTATAAAGCCATTTAAATACAAACACGGCCAGTCCTGGTAGCTCATAGTAGGCACCAAATCACATGCATAGTTGTTACACACCAATGTGTTGACTTGCAGAGAGAGAAAAATCATGTTTCATTAAGAATGCAAGTAGAAAGTAGAATCTACCTTGACTGAGCAAGTCTGCACGAAGCTACCTGAATGTTTATACAACCTCAATGACTGGTACTCAGGTCGGGAGACATGGTTCAAATATTCCTATTCCCAAAGCAAAGACCCACCCGCCTCTCGGCGTCTGCATTTCCTGTATGTCCAACAGCAATATCACGTTTCCTTGTGCTTAGATGCTGTAGGATTCTTTCCCAGCAAGTCATAGCTGTTGTGGTATAACTTGTGGGAATAATTTGGGGACCTCAGGGAGATTGTGGTTAGGTCAACGAAGGACTACACTATTTGAGTGAGGCTGATTATGCACTGCAAGGTGAGCAGAGTAGCAGCCCAAACTAAAACATAGCTTTGGCTCTAACCATGCCCCTAGTCATGAAAGCAAGTAAACAGAGATGCAAGTGAAGGAAAAGCATCTGCATGGGAACTACTGCAGAACAGAAAAGCCCCTTAAACTTTTTGATCAGAAAGCATGAAGAAGGGAATTTCCATGCTTCAGAGGGACTGGCAGATTCTTACTTTCCAGAATTCATAATACAGTCACCCTAGTTTCATATATTAGTTTTCTTGGCTGATATAACAATACTTGTAACTCTGTAGTTTATCAAACCTGCTATGTACAAGGTGATCTTGAGAAAAGTACATTTTATTTTAAAAAGCTCTGACTTACCGTGTCCCCTCATGTGATCTCGTAGCAACCTTTCATTGGCAAAATGTTTCTGACAGTTCTGGCAAACAAATATCTGTTCTGAATTTGAATAGAAATTATTTAGTAGCAATACAAATAACTTACGAAACATTTATTAATTAATAACCTATAGCTGCCAGTTTCATGAATAAACTAACACAGCACTGAGACAGTTTCAGTATTCTTTTTCATTACTAACAGTCTTCAGAAGAAAATTTAGTTTAGGCTTAATGAAAAGATTTGTTTATCAATAAGTTCATTTTATCCTAAACAGAGTAACAATCTGTTCGAAATACTAAGAGTTTGAAGTTTGAGCTCTTCTGCCAATTACCTAGAATGCACTTACTTTCCATCACCAAAACATCCACAATTCCTAAATCTATTCCAAGCACTTAAAAACAGAAAAAAACAACCACCTCTCACTTCCTCTTTAGTATGCAGGAAAACATGCCAACTAATACACAGTTGGTTGAGGTAGGGAGTGTTCTGGTGAAGAAAATACTTACTGGAAAAGCAAAGCTGAAGAGGAAAAAATTGCCTTTTGACTTGAAAGCAGTTGAATGCTCATTGGCATTACTTGCAGAGATTTTGTAATCCAAGCCTGGGTCTCGTGGAGGTTCTCTCTTCAGTAATCAAACGTCTTCGCCATTCACAGGCAGTTTCCCATTGGCAGTAGAATGTCATGCTGTGCCATGGGCACCAAGGGAAGAGAGGCAGTGCGATGCCACAGCTGCCAAGTGAATAGCTTTTCTGCTGAAACACGATCTAAGGGTGTTCTCTTGCTCACTTTCATTACCCTAATTCATCAGACATGCAAAGTCAAAAGAACTTCTATGCTTTATGAAAACAACTGCCTTCCTGGAGCAAACCCTGCTTTCATGCAATTGACTTATATGAAAAATAGAAATATTTATGAAATTACATGTGCACGTTATCACAAAGCACCTTAAATGAAAACCTCTTAGAAATATAAACAGAAATAAGAGCATATCCACTTACTGTCTACTGAAACTTGTCTCTTTGCATGATCAAAAAACTTAGTGTTACTGGAGAACATTCTTCCACAAGTAGGACATGCTACAACTCTTTCCTGTGTGTGCATTCTTAAATGATCCCATAGCTTATGTTTTCCTTTAAATACGCCAAAGCAATCTAAACCAAGCAAACAGAAAAAAAGCTATACGTGAGTACTGTACACTTTCTCAGGTAGAAACAGAAAAGGCTATTACATACTTACGTCTTACTGTTATAATTTTAGAAACACACAAAAATCTTCTTCTAGGAAAAAAAGGGAAATCAGACCGGTACCATTACAAACATCACATGACATTTAACCCCACAAATATCCATGCCAAAGCCAGACTATTTGGCAGCAATCAGAATTCTTCAGAACATATCAGACGTGTGTTTTACAAAAACTTCAGGTTTGGATCAGCAGAGAGCATCCTGCTCTGCTTTCCACCCTCATGTGTCGAGGCTTCTGATGCCAAACGGTTGCTCATACAGTAGTGTAGAGATAACATTGATCACTCTTCCTGTTGCATCCCACCCCATCACAGAACTCCAGCAATCTTCACGGTCTCTGGAGAGCCGGGAGAACAAGATGGTGTAGTGAACACGTCAGCTGTACATCTCCAAGAACTCTGCTTGCTGACCTCTTTTTTTTTTTATCTTCACATTTTCTGTCTCTACATACACATTCACATAGTGGTTAACCACAAGCAATCAGCTATCCACCAAACAATCTTGCATATAAATAGCTATGTCCTCAGATCTGTTAAGCTCAGGAACAGTCTGGTACTGTGGACACAGTGCAAGTTTTATCAGCGTAAGTAGAAGCTCTGGCTATTGACATGTGACAAATAAGGGAAAATCCCTAGTAGGTTAGTGTATTGGTGTAAATTGAGAACTACTTACAGGAAAAAACTTCAGACAGATGTGAAGGAATCCCTCAGATTCAGACAGATGTGAAGCCTACCCTCTCGCATAAGGAGCCACAGTCACAAGTCTCTCTCATCTGCCTAGCAAAGGTAACAGCTATGCAGAAAGCTTCCCTTTTAGAAAGGTGAAATAACAGCCTAAACCCAATCAAAGACTTTTAAAAATCAAGGGGACTAAAATCAAATTCAAGAGCAAAAGGTGAGGAAAGACAAAATATTCTTTTGTGGATAATACCTCATAAAAGTAATCAAGTGAATCAAACTCAACGACAGGTTGGATACCTTTAGGTCTCAGAAATTAATACATAAAATTCATTTAACAAAAAGGATTAGCCTATTTCATTTAACCAAGCAAGTGCATCATGAGTTCCATTTCTACTATTCATTGGGACATTTGCTCAAGTAAAACAAGAATGTAATAGCCTTGGTAACAACCCATATCCACTCCAATGGGTAGAATATAGGCATCTTCCTGGAAAGAAGTTCTGAGCTCCAGATTAACATACTTAGTAAAGGGACAGAACTCTAGACTCCTTATTAAGACTAAGGAAATCCTAAAACCTCACTATGCCTATAGTGAGGAAACAGGTTAATCAGTGTCTCTTTTACCTCAACTGCATGCAGAATACTTCTGACCAGGAGGGGCTACAGAAAAAGAACAAGTTCCCACATCTACATCAGAAGCTGTAAAACTGATTATTCTTCCTATGCAACATGAAGATTTCTGTCTCTGTTCAACTCCAGATTCAAAATGCGATATACAGGATGTCAGATTGAATGTCTCTTACATCCTTCCTTTGTGAGCTCTGCCAGGGCCCTGAGTATACCAGTATATTGGTCTGGTTGCCCTGACCAGCCTGTAGCCCTATGGTGATGCTGTTAAAGCTTCAATCACACTTCTGTGAAAACAGCTGAATTGTGAGACGGAGCAGTGAGAAGCCTCATCTGGGGCCTCCACTCACTCACCCTGTGCCCTCTGGCTTGGGAGCTGCAGTTACCCACCCTTTGTGCCTCACTGGCCCTGCCTCTGACTTGCTATCTGGACTTCCCAGCTTGACCTCAGACCTGTCTTGTCACAGAGGACTTGGCCGGTGATCACAGGGCTGTGGCTGACCCTGGCTAGCACCACCAGACCTGCTCTGGTCTTCTTGTTCAGGTTCTGTGAGACTGCACCCTGTCAGTGAGGTCCCTGCCTGCCTGTCACCTTTAACTCCCAATTCGCCTTCCCATGCGGAACAGCTCACTCTTACTGAACCCTCACAAATTCAAACCAACTCAGGACCACCAACCAGTAAACTGAGGGTCCCTGGAGAAGACTGATCACTTTCTAGCTGTTGTCCCAGTCCCATGACAACTGCTTCCTTACAGAAATGAGACCTTACTGGCTTGTTAAGTTTGGGGATGTGAATGAAAAGTTGTCTTTCAGTGCCTGGACGTTGTGATTCTGCATGTCACTTTCAGATGTATACCACACCCTGAATATCAAGATCAGAGATTAAAACAGACCCTGTATTTTATTCTGAGACAGGATCAATTACACTTTGGTCTCAGAAGAGGTCTTCTCAGTTCCCCAGTGATTGACAACCTCCACAATTTCAACAGGCAACTGCTCCAGTATTTAAAAATACCCTATTAAAATGGCTTTCCTAACTTATAACTTGCACCCCTCTAGTTACAACTGATACTCATTACTTCTCATCCTTTCTAGCACAGACATAGGAACAGTGAAATCATGTTTTCTAACTGCAGGGCATTTCTTAAACTTGTCTGAAGACATAACATATTCCTTCTGCATTTCCCTTTTCCCCGTTCTGTTATTTAGGCTATACAGTCAGAGTCTCTTCACCTGTCCTAATAAGCAATATTTTCTAAAGATACAATGTGTGATGTGTGATTTTTGTTCCTCTAAGGACTACAGATTCTACATCATCAGGTCACTGGAGTGTGTTCCCCAGCCAAAAAACAGTGCACCTGTCAGCTAATCTCAAGAGGAAAAAGGAACACAGCGATGTCGCTTTGCACCCACTGACGGGATTTTGTCATCATTGCAGTAAATAGCTAACCCAAAAAGTAACTTTAACCCATAAATTGATAAGACACGTATCTGGGGGGGGGGTGGGGTGGGGAGGTGTCACCAAGAGAATACCAATCAAACCTGGACTTCGTTGACACATTTTACAAGATGTAGCCAAATTGGTTGGTTTAGAGCAAGCACTGAATGATCTGTTCTAGGAACAGAGCCCCACAAATTGTCTCACTATTCTTCACTAGAAAGTCTTTTCTTCTGGAGAGATTCTGCTCACACACTTTGTAGGTCTGAAGCCAAATGGCATGCACATCAAATGGTAGTCCATAGTTTAGCCCTTACTCAAACAATCAAGGCATCTGCTATGAAAGAGTGTCAATGGAATGTGGCTTCTAAAATAGAGCCAAAGGCAGAACATCAGCTTTGAAGCCTATGACAATAATTTTAACACAAGAGGTAGCTAGCAATATAGAGAATGCATTAAAAATTATCTTTCTCACCACAGAGTTGAGGAAAAACTAGGATGGCAATAGGTGTGCTTCCCTTGATTTGAAGGGAACAGCTGAGGGAAAGCAATGAGTAAGCTCACCATGAATGATGATTGTGAGGGAGACCACCCTGATCCTGAGTGGTAGAATATAAGTTGAAAGTCTGTTCGAATGCTATACAAACTGTCAACCACAGGCAAAATTATGAGGAAACGCAACCCTGTCCAGTACCGGCAGTTCTCAACTTAGACTCTCTGGGAGTTGAGGGCATTCGACCCCATGGATGATAGGAACTAGTCTACTTAAATCACAGTGCCTATAAAATAGAAATGTTTCTGCAACTATTTAAGATAGATGAAAAAATATATGAACGTCTCTCACAAGTTCCTATGCAAAATGTAGCACACTAAGTGAATTTTATAAGAAACACTGCAGTGAAGTACTTTTTGAAATAGATTTTTGTAATGTATATGAACTACCTCTCCAGTGACAATAAACAGCTTTCTTCTGATCTGTAACAGTTTCTTCCTCAGCAGCATAGGCATGAATAGCAACATGTTGATAAAACCACACTGGGTTATTGAAGGCAACCTAAAACCAAAATAGAAGCATGGAGAAAACAAGACAGTTTTGGCAGGAAATCAACTGTCAGGATCATAGAATTAAGTGTTTTTAGAAACCCAGCAGACACCAGTGAATATTGCAGTAACATTTAATTAACTCACCCCAACACAGAGACAATTACATCAACTATAAAAATGTAGAACATTCTGCAGTACCCACCACACAAACCAGGTCCTGGATTTTCACCTACCATCTAGTAGTTGAAAAGTCTGTCTAGACTAACTGTGTGAATACTACCCATTCTTGGGGGCAGGGATGTGTCTGTCAATGTATTTCTGTTGATTTATTTATTTGGTATATTTTTACCTTCTCCCTTCCCTTCATTTCCACCTGCTCATATTCACAAGAAGGCTATGAGGGCAGCACAGGTAATTCCAACAGAAATGGGAAGGCTACACAGTGATTAAACTGAATTAGGTGTTATGGACACAACACTCCACGAGTCAGTACTTATGTGACAAGGGGGACTAAACCTTCATTAGCCTCTGCTTCACTCCACAGAAATTCACTCCTGCAGAGTGAAGGTAGACTGCATATTGCATTTTCTTCAAGTAACACAGGATGTCATTCAACTGCATACTGTCATCAGTCACAATTCAAAGTATTCCTCAGTTCCCAATAATTTAACCCATTACCATCTCTCCTGTGCTGTCACAATTTTGTAAGGCTACACATTGAATTGGGTCAAGGAATTGATCTGGCTTTTGACCAAATCTAAATAATGGGGAGAAGAAATGGGAAAGAGGTGAAACTCCTTTGGCTCATATTGCCACTGCCAATAATGTACAGTTTATTCAAATTAAACAGTGGCGGGGGGGGGGAGGCATTGGGGGGGTGTTTAAGAAAAATATATACATGAAAAAAGCTATTTATTTAGTATTATCTGGTTTTAATCATCCTAATCTTAGTAGAGTTGATTAAGCTAAACTGCTAGGCATTCTGTGTGCAGAACAGAACATTCACACGAGTAGTTAATGGAGGCAAACTGCTGCATTTTAAATTCATACTCCAAGGTATTTCACAATAGCTCCCACAGGGAGACAAGCCCTTATTTCCTCTGAAGGGCTTGAAACATGATCTGAGAGATCCAAGGTCTTGTGTATATGAAAACATATAGGCATATTAAGGTGAATCAACTAAAAGTATTGAGCTAGACAGTGATGGAAAACCTCTTCGCTTCTTAATCAGAGTAACCATATGGGGGTTAAACCCGTTTTAATTTGTTGGCACCATCTCTAAGTGTTTTGCCAGAACTTCTTGAATATTTCTTTATATGTAAATAGGAGAGGAGAGAATTTTTTGGGGCCATTACCTGAGTCAGAAGCTTTACCTTTGGGGAAAGCTGAATCTGACACGGTAGGAGGCACCACAAGTGTCGGGGGAAGCTGTATGGGTGATTTTCAAAGAGAATTATATTCATAACTGTGGGAACATATTTGCAGGAGGGTGGGAAAGGTAAGCAGTTTTCCCTGCCCTCAAAGTTCTCCTCTTTCACAGTGTGCCCTACCCCACCTCCTGGGTCTAGTCTAGCCTGCCTACTAAGTTGGGAAACATTCTTTTAATTAATAAAATTCACAACATAGTTTGAACTTGAAAAAACATGTATAAAAAGATTTAGCAAAATGCTATGAACTGAAAGATTCCATCATCCAAAACTGACCACTTACATAAATGAAAAATGGAGCATGAAATAGGAATATTTTTCTTCTTTTTAAGCATGTTTTTCAAAAGACTCTGCTTACTGATAGATGCAGCAAAATCAAATTCTGAGGGCTTTGAAGTTTTTCTGAATCTCTTCATTTTTTAAAATAAAGAGACCAATCATGGTAGTATGCAAGTAGACTGATTGGTATGTATTAAAAAGCATTAATAACAAAAATAACTACTGTGAGAAATATGATTCCTATATGCTATGTGACATAATGGCAGTAAGATTTGTTTGCAACAATAGTTTGTAATTCAATTATGCAAACAATCCAAAAGTTATCATAAATAATGCTCCGTATTATATGTTTAGGTTTATAGCTTTAAAAATATGACAACGGGATACTTCAATCCATAATCCACTAGTAAATAAAAGCCTTTATTTACAGAGACAGAGTTTCTCACAGATTGACTTAACAACAGAACTACTTCTCTCTATAAACTTCACACGCAGATTTTTATGTCATTCCTTACTTCATGTAAAGAAGCATTGATGAAAAGAAAGGTATGGAAGCATTATGTGAGTATAGATATTCTAAATTCAGAGCTAAAAGAGCCAGATGGATATTTCTAGACATTCTGTCCAGGAATAACATACAAAGGGAGAGGCATTCACCTTTTACATATGTTGTGACACAATCTGTAAGCTGAAATGTTAAGAGGAAACTGAAAATAACTTCAGACCCCATAAGGGTAAGGTTAGCAAAGCAAAGCGTGGACTATAACCACTATCAGAAAACAAAAGTAATTTAACTCCATCACTGTAATATATTTACTCAAATATCACAATGGTTTTAATTCAGGTGTCATGTATGTGAGGGATACAATACCTATGTAAAGTACCACCAGTCTGACATTCCCTTGCATGGAAATATTTTCATCCTCTAGTGTTTGTTTATAACCTCAAAAAAGCATACTTTATGTCATTAAGTTTATCACTAATTGGGTATGAAAAAGTCATTGATAACAGAGAAGTATGATTGAGGGATGATAACCCATGAATCATTGAAAGGCCTAGAGAGACATAAGGGGAAAAAAAAAGGATCTAAGGCCTTTGAAAAACATTAAAGTTTTTTCTTTTGATTTGTAGTTCAACATTACTAAACCTACACCAGATTTGCCCATACGAGGATTGCAAAATTGTTTAGTTTTACAGTTTTTCTGATTTTCACAGTACAATTCATTTCAGTTGATTCTTCTTCAACAATATGTTGCTTTCAGTTATATCACTTACCACAAATGACACAAAAAACCTCATGTAACATGAAAAAATTAATGTAGACCAGATAGACCATTTTCCTGCGCTACTATTTTCTCTAAAAACTATCTCGCTCAACAGTTACACAAAAGGAGATGGTAACAAAACATCACCTGCAAGGCATCACACTTGTGAACGCAAAGAAAATGCTCACTAGCCATAAATAACAGCTGAGGTTCTAGGGCCAACAGTGACAGAGAAAGTGCTTCCCTATAATGTCATATCAATATGAAGCCACTTTTGATCAGGAATTAACATCTCCAAGAGGCAGAAAAAAAAAATATCTAAAAGACAGAAACTGCTAAACATCTGTGTTTACTTGATATAGAAATAGCACAGGCAAAACGGAACGGATAATGATTTTATTCAATACAGGACACCAAAAAAAGTGGTCAAGATACAAACCCTTTTACTTGAAAGCAGTCTTGGCCACATTTGAACATCAGACTTGTATGAACAGCCCGTTGCAAATGCCTGATTTCTGTGCCAGTTAAAGGGAAAAAAAACAACAAACATTTCCAATTGACCAAGGAAACATCTGATACTCTGTTGCCTTTCCTCAGGCAAAGAATAAACACTCCGAACCTGTCTACAAACTACCAAGTTCATTAGTTTATCATTAAACTGGGTATATTAAAGTTTTGCTTTTAAAACAGAAGAGAGGTTGCATCTTTGTCAAAAAGATCATTTTAGTCACCACAAAGAGAAATAAAATTTGAATTCAAGGACAGAGATGTTATGCAAATATGTCGTTTACATTTTTATGAATGCTACCATAATAATTATCATGTATTACTTACCAAGATAGTGGGAAACATTGTTCAGAAATAAAATTGAACAAAAATTCCCAATAGCGAGTCAAATCCAAAGGATGCTAAGGTAAAGTTGGGAAAGGAAAAAACAATGGCTGTACCTCAACATATTTCACTTACATCACAATTCTCCCAGTGGCAAACAAACTCCTCTGGAGTCTTTGGTAACTGATGCCAGCTACGGCTGCTCTGCAAACACGCTGGCAAATCGTGGTGCAATGCTTGTAACTGAGAGCCTATGAATTTCAGTTTGGTGTGGTAACTGTGGAAATTGACATGTGTTATCAGCTGTCTGGGATCTTTTGCCCCAAATTCACAACTTCTCCACCAGCACCGGTACTGCTCTAAACAGAAGAAAGAAGTGACATTTTACAGAACACTGCATGAAATCTGCAACCACGTGCCACAACAGTGAGAACGCCAATAGTACTTACATTTGTAGTATCTTCACAATCCATAAGTAACCTTAGCAGAGAAGATGGTAATTGCTATCTAATGATAGTTCACTAGATAAAACTTGAAAATCTCAGTGGCAAACAGATTTTCCAGTCTCACAACTGCAGCAACACCAGAGTGCTTTATACCCTAAACCATAACTTTTTGCAGAAAGGCACTTCATAGATTAAGTAGGAAAATTTTGTGAAAATAAGTATTTTTTAGGTATATACCATGACACTCTTCAGCTTAGGTCACAGAGACTTTGTTAATGTTGGTCCAATTCTACTTTTTTCACCTTTAATTAAAACTCATTCACCTTTAATTAAAATGTCTACACCTGTAATTACACTTGATTACAGTGTTAAGAATAAAGAGCAGGATACACAAGAGCCAAAATAGCTATATTAAAAAGTCTAGTATATTATTGCTATTACATCCACAGAGACCGCCTATAATTTTCTGCAGAATCGGATTTTTTGTTTTCCTTTAAAGTACATTTAATACTATTCAAAAGACGTAAAATACACTACCTGTCATAAAATAACACCGGTGTATGTATCCAAATAAGGCAAATACCATACAAACAATAAAAATTTCCATTTTTCTATAAAAATTCATACAAGTGCTACTTTAAACTCAGAATTCTTAAGCAGCAGGTGAGTTCCCTGAAAGCGAAGAA